GCGAGTGACCATGCTCATGCTCTAAATATTATTGGCTTTTTGTCTGTCTGACTTGTGGCAAGACTACACTTCTTGGTGCCTGTTTGGTGTGTGGAGACCATGTCACTAGTTCTAGGACAGTCTCTCACATCATTTCTGGGGACCAAGCTTCTAGCACACCAGCCTTTGGAGACACAGTTAGCCTTGGCCGAGCCATAGCGTTAAGTGGTGAAGGCGAACACTGATTGGACACCTTTCGGTGTTGGTGCTGCTCCCTGTGCTGATGTGCCCCGCCCGCTGAGCTGCAGCAGGCCTGGTTTGTCGTTGTCCATTTGTCCTGTTCTCTTTTGACACACAGTGTGCCTGTCACCTAGCTTGTTGTGTGTGCCAGGCTGGCCTTGCACCCGCAGCAGTCCTCCTGAGTGCCGTGATTCCGCCATGCCGTGGCTTCTTTGGCTAGTTAGTTATGTGGATGTGTGTACACGTGTGAGTGTGGGTAAATGCACCTGTGCACTCCCAGAGGCTGCAGCACGGTGGCAGGAACGATCTGCTTATCACATAGATGCTGGGATCTGAACCCTGGCCCTCACCATTGAGCAGTGAGCTCTCTTACCACTGAGCCACCCGTCCAGTCCTCCTCATGCCTTGAATGTGGTGGTTTATAACTACCTAACACTGCCTTTGTTTCTTTCTGTAGCTTTTGACGTGCTGTGTTTTGTCTTCCCGTTTTAGATATTTAACCTGCCTTGCGATCCTTCTTTGATCCTTTGATGGCTGAGTGGGGTGTTGTTTAATAGTCACAGATTTTGGGTTTCCCGTCTCCTTCTGTAATAGGCAGCAGTGGCTGCTACTTCTCCTTCTCCTTTTTAATTTGATGTATTTTTTTGTTTTGGTTGGTTCGTTTAGTTTTTTGTTTTTGTTTGTTTGGTTTGTTTTTGTTTTCCTGTGACAGGGTTTCTCTGTGCATCCCTGGCTGTCCTGGAACTCACTATGTAGACCAGGCTAGCCTCAAACTCACAAGAGATCTGCCTGTGTCTACCTCCCAAGTGCTAGGATTAAAGGTGTGTGCTACCACTGCCTGACCTGTAACAGGCTTCTAATTTCATGCTATGTGATTGGAATGATTTTTTTGTGTAGTGTCCCTCTTTTAAGGTCTTTTGAGGGCTTGAATAGATGACTCAGCAATTACGAGTGCTTGCTGCTCTTCCAGAGGCCCCGAGTTTTGTTCCCAGCACCCATGTTGGCCGCTCACAACCACCAGCATCTCCAGCTTCCTCCTCGGGCCTCTGTGGGCACTGCGTGTGCATGTACACACACACATATACATACATACACACACATGCACATACACACACACATACAGACACACGTGTGAAGATAGAAGTCAGTTTTTGTTTTTTTTAAGAAGCCACCTTTTTTAAGATTTATTTATTTATTATGAATACAAGATCCTACCTCCATGTATGATCCTGCCTCCATGTATGTCTGCACGCCAGAAGAGGACACCAGATCTCATTATGGATGGTTGTGAGCCACCATGTGGTTGCTGGGAATTGAACTCAGGACCTCTGAGCCATCTCTCCAGCCCTGAGGATAGAAGTCTTATTAAAAGATCTATTGAGATTTAATTTGTGACCTAACATTCTCTTCAGATGACTGGACAATAAAATTTTCAGATTTTAAACTTGGGGCTTCTCTGGTTTTATTGTGGAAGCTTGAGATGAATGTGTAGTTTAGGTGTCCTTCTTAATGAGATCTTATTACTTCTGAAATGGTGGCAGGAGCTGAATGGTAGTGGGAGAGGTTATCATTTATGAAATATCGAACCAGTGACCTTAGCTATTCAGTTGTGATGAAAGGCCCAATCTAACCTTTATTGAATGTGATATTTATTAAAAATGAAACTTCTCATTTCCATTACTTAATCAATAGTACTCTGAACCATTTGTTAATATGATTAAAGGTGGTGTTGTAGACCAGATCCTGCTCCCCAGACACTTGGCTTAATTTTTGTAACTAGGAAATATCTTCTAACATAGAGTCTCTCATATCCATTTAGTCCTGTACTGGTAACTTTCGTAAGTCACAAGAAAGAACAACTAGAGTTTTCAAGCCATAGTTCCTCACACCCAGCGTCCTAGCACTGAGGACCTAAAATCCGGTGCTGTATGTAAGGATCCTGTTGAGGCCAGCCTGGGCTGCATGGAAAGACCCTGCTTCAACAAAACACGGAGGCTGATGAGATGGCTCAGCGGGCAGTGGCACCTGCCACACAAGCCTGGCAGCCTGCGTGAGGTCCCTAGAGCCCACATAAAGGTGAAAGGAGAGGACAGACGCCACAAAATTACCCTCTGACTCCTACGAGTGCACTGTGACACCCATGTGCTCATACATACACCGTATACTTTTTTTTAGTTTTTAAATAAATTCAGGGCCCAGAATGATGGCTCAGTGGTTAAGAATGCTTGCTTCTCTTTCAGAGAACCAGAATTCAGTTCCTAGCAACCATGTCAGGTGACTCACAACCATCTGTAACTCCAGCTCCAGGAGATCTGATGCCCTCTTCTGGCCTCCATGGGCACCCTTACATACATGTCACACACACACACACACACACACACACACATCTTTAAGAAATAAAAAATTTACAGGAAGAAACTAACATGTAACTACTACTTAAAAGAACAGCTCCTTTCAAATCATAACATTGAACTCTCAGAAGGGTGTGTTTTATTTCCTGCTGTCTGCTATTGTAATTCAAATGCCAGGGTTTCATGCGGGTGATATGTTAGTGCAGCAAGAAATGCATTGTGTGATGAGTGTCAGCAGGGAAAAGAGCCAGAGACAGGAAGAAAGAAGCAAGAGAAGGCTCGGCATCGGGACCCCTGAAGTCTAAGCATAGTTGGGTGTGGAGCAGGCCCACTTTGCCAGTGAGTGCCTGTTACCCACACCGGGTGGTGCCCCTCTGGCCATCCCAGTGCTGACGGAGGTTTTGGAGATGGAGCTGCGGTTGCTCTCTGGTGGCGTGCACTGCCAGGCTTGCATGTGAGTGAGCTAGTGAGGGCCTCGCCGTAACCAAAGGACAGCCTCGCTGCCAGGCCTCACAGGAAGGAAATAGGAAGTTTTGCTGTGTGTTGGGACCCTGTGAAAGCCCTTGTGGGGTGTCTCACTACATTGTCACACCAGCCCTGAGAGGATGATCAGAAGGCTGGCTTACTCAGAATCAGAGCTTAGAAGTGGCATAGCCTAGGTCCAGACACAGGCCATCGGGATCCTACGCCTGCCTTCTCAGCCACTGGCATAGGAGGGGCAGCATAGAACCACCCAGTAAATCAGAGATAACCAGCAGGAAAGGCAGTGGCTACAACCTGCTCGATAATGTCATTCTCAAGGCCACCCCAGAGAGAAGGTGGAGGAAGATTAGTGACAGAAGGACAGAAATCTGCCGAGTTCTCAGAGGCAGGCAAGTGTTCGGTCTTGAGGTCCCTGACCTTCTTGTGATGGAGCAGCTAATGGGAACCTTCTGACAGCCTCTGATCTAGAGTGACCGTGGACAGCCGAGTCTCTCTCTCTCCAGCAGACAGCTGGCTCTGTGGCTGGCCTAAAGGACACGCTGCAGGCTGCAGCCTGGCTGCTTTTCTGAGGTCAGGCCCTGGCCAGCCAGCCCTGTGCCCGCTGTTCACCTTCCCAACAACACCCTGTCTCCTTCTGGGGGCACCTCAGGATTTGGGTTCCGGCCCCTGCCTGATGGGAAATGGGTGAAGTCACGCCTGAGGTTCTTACTAGCACACGGATCCCTTTCACGTCTTTGTGGGTAGGAGGAAAAAGACAAAGGAAAAAGCTTAGTCCTGGAATGGGAAGGGTTTTTTGGTTGGTTGGTTAGTTTTTTTTTGTTTGTTTGTTTGTTTTGTTTTTGAGACAGGGTTTCTCTTTGTAGCTTTGGAGCCTATCCTAACACTCGCTCTGTAGCCTAGGCTGGCCTCAAACTCACAGAGATCCACCTGCCTCTGCCTCCTGAGCACTGGGATTAAAGGCGTGCGCCACCAATGCCCAGCTGGGAAGGGTCTTGGTAGCCCATAGAGAATGTTATGTGACTTGCTATATCACTACCACCGAGGTCATTGTGTCCCTGTGACCTATATCCCAGTACCTGACACTAGGACACTGTCATCCTTGGTGACCCATTTCTACCTACATGACTGATCTCTCCCGTCTCTTTTGCATAATATTGTCAGTGACGCCAACAGAATGATTCCCTCATCAAGATGGGGGGTGCTCCTTCAGTGTCACCTGTGATACACCACAGTGGTCTTGGATGCCGATTCTGGGTCTTCCCAAAGACAGACCAACAGCTGGCTAAACCGGACAGTGTCCCCAGGGCCATGGAGGACTCCTGAGGGGCTATGGGTGGCTGCTAGCCAAAGAGAAATATTTATGCTGGCCTCTTGCTTCAGCCCAAGGCTGTGTCCCCACAGATCTGTCAGGAAGGACCTTGTGTGCATTCCCTGTATAACCCTAGTTGCTCCAAGCTAACGGAGCGTTCCCACATTCACATTTAGAGAGGGAGGCAGGTTAAGGGTGTGGGTTGTGTTACTTTTACAGCCTTGTCTTTGGCTTTCAAGGGTTAGTATGTATTAAGCCTTCTCTGTCAAAGATGGATTCAGTGGACATCACCTGTGCCTGTGGTATATATATAGTTTTTCTACTTCCTGCATGCTATCTGGTCCGGGTGACGTAGTTGACTTGGGCTCAGGGGTAAGTGGGGGTCAGGTGTTTGAGCATGGTGAGCCACCCTCATTCCCTCAGATAGCAGTGTCGGCAGTAAACACAGTTGCTGTTGATGTACATAACTGATCGCTTTATTAACTGTGGAAACGAAGCCTTCTGGGAAATAAAGCATAGCTGGACTGTGTCGTGTGCACAGGACAGGCACAGTGGAATGTGGCTGACAGGCTGCTTAATGATAATGATAGTGTTTAAGTACTGTTGATTGTCCTCTAATTGGATTTCTCTTTCTTTAGGCCTCTTCTGAAGAGCTGAAGGCTGCCTACCGGAGGCTGTGCATGCTGTACCACCCGGACAAGCACCGCGACCCGGAGCTCAAGTCCCAGGCAGAGCGTCTGTTTAACCTTGTTCACCAGGCTTATGAAGGTCGGTGGAGAGCTCGGCTCACGCTCACAGACATTCGATTTTTAAGTGACTTGATTTGTAGCAGATAGAGAGATGGAATCCTCAGAGGTGTATAAAGGGGGTGCTTGGTTTGATACTTTGTACTGACGGAGCCCTTTGAAAGAGTCGTATTTTGCTTTGGAAATCAATATGTGTCCAGTAAGAAGAAATGAGAGTTCAAATGAAGAGATGGGCCAGATCTGAACAGAGGCAGCCTGAGCTCCAGCTGGTTCCCAGTGTCTGGGGGGGCTAGTGGGGGGGGCGGCACTTGCAAAACCACTGCTTTGTTCTTTTTTTCTTTTTTTTTTGTGAGAAACTACAAGGACTTTTTTTTTTTAACCTAAGTGGTTTTATTGGTTTTGTATCCATCGGTGAAAAAAAGGGCTTACAAGAGCTGGTGTGCAGAGCTTGGTGAGGAAGTAGAGCCTAGTCATTCTGAAGCTTAGATTTATGGCCTACATATCAATGAAAAAGACTTGGGATATGTTTGACTCTGGGAAGGTGGAAGGCTCTAGAAAGAGTGATGGCTTCCTAATGCCCCAGGGTGAGCTTTATGCTACCAAGTTGTGCATTTTTAAGTGACTGGAATGGTAAAATGTTTTACCATGATTTAAAAAGTAAAAACAAATAATAATAATAATAATAATGGGGGCTGGAGAGATGGGTCAGTGGTTAAGAGCACTGACTGCTCTTCCAAAGGACCGGGATTCCAGCAGCCACATGACAGCTCACAACTGTCACTTCAGTTCCAGGAGATCTGACACCCTCACAGAGACATACACGCAGGGAAAACACCAATGTACATACATACACCCTCACAGAGACATACATGCAGGCCAATCACCAATGTACACACATACACCCTCACAGAGACATACACGCAGGGAAAACACCAATGTACATACATACAGATTTTTAAAAGGTGTACACATCCAAAAACAAAAACAGACAAAAGAAAAACAAAACGTGAAATCACTCTTAAGATTTATAGATTAGGAGAAATCAGTTACTCATTTCAGACCCCTGTGGTCTGCTCCTTAACTAGAGGCCAAAAGTTGGACAATATGCCTGTGTGAAATAACAAGACTTCACTGCAGACAGGATAGCAGGCGGAATTATTTTACCAGGAAATTACATTTTAATGACATGATAGACAGTAGTGTGTGCAGTGTCACCCAGGGTGATTCTCCTCAGGCTGCGTGGTGTTGGTGGTGAACCAAGCCCATTGTGTTCTGGTTGTGAAGGGCTGCAGCGACTCTGCTGTTGGAAATGTGCTCTTAGCTGGCTTCTGTAGTTTAAGCAGGAGTCTGCCTCCCTTTGGAATCGCTGCAGCCTCAGACCAAGCCACGTTCTGTTCAGCAAAGGCCTGGGTGGGTATTTTCTTATTCAAACAGTTAGCTCAACGAGTTTGGCTCCCTGTTTCCCAGTGGTCAGCATTTCTTCTCCATTATATTTGAATGTGGATAGACTGATTTATATCGCTTTTTAGTTAGGCCTAAAAATATATAGGAACCTCAGAGGAGAAACTATGTGAAGATCCCCAGCAGAACTAGGAGTAGAGCAGGGGCAACCATCAGCCTTGTTCACAGTCATTCTGGGCCTCTGAGTAATTCTCTCCTTGTTGAGGGATCTTCTCATTAGGTGATGTGGACAAAAGTATTGTGGATGATAGTCATGTGTTTTTAAACACTTTTCAAAGCTGGGTATTGTAGCCCACACCTGTGAGCCCAGGATTTGGGAGGTAGAGGCAGAAAAATTGGGACATCAGCTGTGTACTGAGTTTGAGCCTGGGCTCCATGAGACCAGGAATTAGATATAAAGAGAAGTACAGCAGAAGTCTTGGGGTTGGCAGTGCTCAGGTACCTCAGCTGTCAGTGCAGGGTCCTGCGGACACTGCAGAGCAGAGCTTCAGAAAACACTGTTCTTGGGCATGGTGCTGTGATCCTGTCGTCCCAGCACTAGGCAGGTGGAAGCAGGAGAATGGAAGTTTCTGGACATCCCCAGCTATATAGTAAGCTCAAGGCCGGCCTTGTCTATAAGAAACTGCCTCAAAAAAAGAAAAGAAAACTGAAACCTGAGACTAAACAAAAACGCTGTCCTTTCGAGCTGCCAGAGCAAGCTAGACCCTGGAGAAGCCCAGCGTTTCCCATCTGTGGCCTTTAAATGCCTTTCATTGAAAGGAGAAAGCACGGGGGCTGGAGAGGTGGCTCAGCAGCTAAGAGCACTGACTGCTCTTCCAGAGGACCCGGGTTCAATTCTCAGCACCCACACGGCAGCTCACAAATGTCTGTAACTCCAGTCCAGGGGACCTGACGCCCTCGTGCAGGCAAAACACCAGTGCACGTTAAAAAAGAGAAAGCATAAGGAAGATTGCAGCAAAAGCCAGTCCCCAGGAAGGCTGGCTGAGAAAGGAAGGCAGAGGAGGACTACCCTCGTGCCTTGTATACTAGATTCTCAGGACTGAAGGGGAAGTTCGTGCTATGTGAACATATCTGACTTTTTTTTTTCCAGTGCTTAGCGATCCGCAAACGAGGGCCATCTATGACATATATGGGAAGAGAGGCCTGGAGATGGAAGGCTGGGAGGTAAGAGAAACTGAGTCTGAAGAGCTGGCAGCGCGCAGCACTGCAGCTGGGATGGGCCTTCTGGAACTCAGTGCGGCGTCAGCATGTTCCGCTCTGCCCCTGCCTGGTAGCACAAGTGTGACGGACATTCACATGTGTGCTTCCATGTTCCCTGAAAAGGGAAGTTGTGTAGAGAATGAGCATGGAAATCAATTGTACTGTAAGACCCCAAGTTGCTGCAGAATATGTAGGTGTTACTACTTAATTTTATTGGAAGGCCGATGCCTGCCAATTAAGTAGAAGGCAAATGAAGCCCCTCTGAGGCTTGAGGTATGAGGGGAAGACAGCAGAAGGGGCTGGCAGGCCACCTTCCTCCTGTGGCCCTGCTTTGATGGACACATCACAGTGAACCGCAGCTGCTACCAGATGAGCAGCGCTGGACCTGAGTCCCCTGAGGCGCTGCCAGCTCTGGGGAAGCCCTGCCTTTTGAACTAGGCTGCAGTCACACTTTGCCCCCTTCCCTCCACTCCATATTGTCGTTGGGCCCTTTTCCGCGGCGGGCTCTACATGTCCTGCCTGGCTCCCCTAGGTGTTTGATTTGGGGCCTCTAGCCTACCGGAAGTCTCGGTAGTTCATTGTCACTCTGCACCCTTTGCCCAGATGGAAAAAACGAGTCCAGTTGTGTGTCCAGATTTGTGGGCCACTTGGATTAGTTACCAGAGTTGAAGGCTGCAGTCGGAGCCACTGGCTAAGCAGCCCTCATTGCAGACTAGGGTTTTGGTTTCTGCCGTTGTTTCAGCACTTCTGGAGTGCTGGGATTCCCTGGCAAAATACATGATTGCCTCTCACCAAAGCACGGTGTCCCCGCTGTTATTCAGCAAAGCGAGACTTGGCTGAAGTTGTACAGGATGTAGCCAGTCACAGGTGGTGAGTGGGTAAACTTGATGTACGGAGTTTTAGGAAATGCAATTCTCAGTAAGTCTGCAAGGTAAACCAGGTATGACACGAGTAATCCCAGCTCTTGGGAGGCAGAACCAGGAGTGTCGCTATTTGCAGGCTAGCCTGGGGTATGTAGTGGATTCCAAGCCAGCCTTGGCTCCATAGAGCGGCCATTCTCAACCTGTGGGTCTCGATTCCTTTAACAAACCTCTATCTCAAAAAAATGTTTACATTACGATTCATAACAGTATCAAAAATACAGTTAGGAAGTAGAACAAAGGTAATTTTATGATTGGGATCACCATAACATGAGGAACTGTATTAATGAGTTACAACATTAGGAAGGTTGAGGACTACTGCCTTAGACGACTTTGAAAAAGCAAAACAGACAAACCAAAAATGAAAGCATCCTAGGGTATGAACAGTGCCAGACATGCAGCTGGACGGCAGCTCCCGAATGCACGTGGGACATCTGAGCTCCTCCATGATCTTTCAAAGGAGTGACCACAGTGTTTGCCAGAATACCGGTCTTTGGTGGCTGAAGTCTATCTGTCATAGCCTGTTACTCGAGGAAACATCTAGGTCGTTTGGTAAAGGTTGAAGGTGAAGTGCCTTCAAAGCCCCTGGATCACAGCTATAATGTCCATTCTGTCCAGTGGAGGATGTTAGGAATGAAATTGGACCCTTTTAAAGACGGGGTCTCACTATGACACTCTAGAAGGCCTGGAACCTCTGTGGACCGACAGCCCACCCCAGCTTGTGTTCCCATCTGTGAGAGTGCCTGGAGATGGCTGGCAGTGTCCAGTGCCCACATGAAAATGAAGTCTGTCTTTTCTTTAGAATTCAGAAACTCAAACTGAATGCTCAGACAGTCTCCGCACTCACAGTGACTGGCAGGTGGAGAGGAACCCACATAATTCAGCTTGCCTGCAAACTGCTCTCAGAGGTGCATCCTTTGGCCTGAGTCATCTGCAGTTTGCAGCTCCATACACTATCCATTTTCCCCTATGAGAGTGTCAAAGTTGACCTCTGCGAAAAGCAGTAATGCAAACAGTATCCTGAGAACTGTCACAGAGCAGAGGCAACTGAGGCAGTGTGAGAACTAAGTATAGTGAGAAACTCACAAAGTTGGAGAAGTCTGGATGGTGCTAATAGGCATGATGGGTGGTCCATGGTCACATGAGTTACTACCATTGGATTAAGCCGTGAAGAGCACTGTTTGCTCTTCAGAGGATCCAGGTTCAATTCCCAGGACTCACACAGTGACTCACAAGTGTCTGTGACCCAGGCCCAGAGGACTCGATTACTGCCGTCTTGACCTCCACAGGCACCAGGCACACAGGTGGTCCAGATACGCATTTAAGAAAAACACCTGTATACATGAAACAGAACTTTAGAAAGATACTAATATAAACCAGGTGTGATGGTACAGGCTTTCAGTCCCAGCACTCTGGGAGGCAGAAGCAAGCAGATCTCTCTGTGAGTTTGAGGCCAGCCTAGTCTACACAGTAAGATAAGGACAGCCAGGACTATAGAGAGAGAACTTGTTTCAGAATATTAAAAAAGTTGACTTAGACCGACAACACACAGGGACTGAGGCTATGGACATTCTCCCTAGAGGTGAGTTGCCTGTCCCCCACTGACCCATCCTTCCCTAAAGTTAGGCTTTTTCTGTCCCATCAGCCAGCTCCCGAATAACCACACAGAGACCTTGTTTCTAACTAGCTCTTGCAACTTAAATTAACCCATATTTTTATTACTCTACTTTCTGCCATGTGGCTTTTACCTCTAATCCATTTTGTGTATCCAACTCATTCTGTGTCTGGCTGGCTTCTCTGTAGTCTTCTTCCCAGCATCTTCTCTGCCCTGGACCCTACCTAGCTAATGGAAGTTCAGCTTTTTAGTAAGCCAATCTGAGCAACAGATCTTCACAGTGTGCAAAAGATTATTGCACACTTGTCCTCTTTATGAGGTCAGTCTTCCTGGTGACTGGCTGGTCCAGATGAACTAGGTTTTGTGGGTTCACAGACTACGTGTGACACACTGTTGGGGTGCAGGGCAGGGTTATCCAGCACGTAGCTAGAGGTCTAGGTGCCCAAACCCAGGGCTGCCCTTACCCTGGACCACCCCAGCCTCCTGTATTCGATTAGTGTCAGGCGAATCCCTGATGGCCAAGGCTTATGGCTGCCAAGAAGGCGATGACTACACCCGGGAAGTGTCGTCAGCATCCTGCAGGGACCAGCCATTTCAGTCTGGCAGTTGGTTCTGATTGTAACCAGCTCTGGGCAGGGCTTGTACAACGTGTAAGCACAGGACCCAGCAGCTCTCCATCGTCCTCACTGCAGCCAGCGCGTCAGGCTGAGCACCGCGTTCCATTGTGCACTTGGAAGAGGGCCCCGTGTCCCCAGAGGTGACTGATTTCCACAGTGGCCTTACCCTCCTTTCCACACTAAGTCTAAAAACGGCCGTGCTAGAGTGCACGAGTTTGTCATGACTTGATCTCGTGGTGTACCTGAGACTTCTGTGTATTCTGCTGTCTGATCCCCCAGTGTTGCTGGACCTGAGACTCTGCAGCGTCACTGGCAGCTCAGGGCTGAGCTTCATGTCGTGAGAGGACTGGCCCACTGTCTAAGGCACCTATTCATCCCTCACGTGACTGGAGATGCCAACTTCTGTACCTCATTGACAGTTGATTTCTCGTCAGGAAATTAGAACTGTAGGGTTTTCCTGCAGCCTCTGAGGGGTTACTAAAATAAAGAACATCAGTTTTTGGAGCACCCAGAGACCAGCAGAGCCTTGCTTTCCTCACAGGGTTGGTAGGAAGCTCTATGCTGCCCGGCTGGCCCCTGGCTGACTGTCATGTGCTTGTCAAACAAGAGTCCAGCTCTCCTGGTGTCCTGGGCCTCATCTGTGTCCCTCCTTTGTGTTCACAGGTGGTGGAAAGAAAGAGAACTCCAGCTGAGATCAGAGAGGAGTTTGAGAGGCTCCAGAGAGAGCGCGAAGAGCGCAGACTGCAGCAGCGAACCAACCCAAAGGTAGCCAGCGCCACATGAAAAGGGACCTGGGGAAGCCGGGTTGAAAATAATTGAGTGTGCTTCAGCTGACATCATAAAACTGGCTGGGGCAACACCTTGCTGTCTGTCTCAGAGCGGTGTTTCTGTGGAAGGTGGTGCCTCGAGTAGCTCCGCAGAGATGAGCATTCAGACCCTTGGAGGGAAGGATAAAAGAGCCCCTGGGTCTGCACAGCCACAGCTCACGGTTCTCTGAGTCCTTTCCTCCCTCGGGCTTCCTGAGCCCTTAGTCAGGGTCCGTGAGAAAGGACACCCAGCTAACCACTTAAGCGCTGTGGCAGTGGGCCCCTGTGCAGTTAGACTAGAGGGCTTATCCAGCTGGCACCAAGCAGGGGCCCTCTGCCTTTTCACCCCAGTCAGTGTCTTTTTCCTTCTGTTTGGGAGCTCGGTCTGAGTTGTGTCCCAGCCAGGAAGCATGTGGTATCTCGTGAGCTTTGGGTGCCCATTGTACTGAATGGGCGACTGTGGCTTGGCCTTGTCCAGCAGTGAATGGGTGCGGTTTGCTGTTAGGCTGGGCACTGTCAGTGTGTCTGGGTGGCCCTATTGTTGCCGCCTGCCCTGTCATGATAAGAAGCTGGTCGCCTTCCCGTCACCTCTTCGGGTACCTGCACCCCCTCGGCCGTGTGGTTGGAAGAAACTGTGCGGGGTGATAAGAGGCAGTGTTGTTTTCTTTTCGTTTGCTTGTTAAAGATTTTTTTTAAGGAAATTGTTGTATAGGGCTGGAGATGACTCGGGTAAAGTGCTGCCTGCAAACCCTGACAGCTTCATTTTGATCCCGGGGACCACGTGATAGGGTTGGTTCCTAAAAGCTGTCTTCTGACTACACCTACACACACACACACACACACACACACACACACACACACACACACACGATACTTAGACAGTTTAAGGTGATTGTTTAGGTTTCCATGGCAAAGACAGTCATCAGAATTGTCGTTGTGACTCTAGTCTTTTCTCTGGGAGTGGGTTAGAGTCATGAAGCCAGCCATCCTTGGCTACAGGACATGGTAGAGGGAAACCGTGGAGCCCGTGTGTCTCTTGTGCTCAGGGGCAGAAGTGGGCTGTGACTGAATATGGGACTGGGGTGTAAGAAGGGGCAGAAGCGGGTTGGCCCTGCCTGGCAGTAGGTCAGAAGAAGAACTGGGCTTTGGAGAGGCAGGTCCTGTGTTGGTCCTAGGCCACGTGTCCGAGGAAGGGCTACTGTATGTGCAGAGTCATTGTCAGCAGACTTGAATTAAAGGTTGGGGGGGGGTCTTCAAATGCTGGTCCATCCCAGTTTGCTCCCCACCTAAGATTGTAAAGTCTAGGTCTTGGTTCTTGGATAAAGGCAATGATTCTGTGGCCGCTCTCATCACAAGAGCTGTCCTGGGGCCAGTGCGGGAAAAGACAGGTGTCCCGTGGCTCTCAGCCATCTGTGCCGTTTGCTGTTACACAGACCTTGAAGAAGCCAGAGCTTGTTTAGGTTGGGGTTAGAGGGTGAGAGTCCACAGAGGACAGGAGGCATAGAAGCCTAAAAGAAAACATGCAGTGGGAAGCCCAGCACTCAGAGGCAGAGGCAGGTAGATCTCTGTGAGTTCGAGGCCAGCCTGGTCTACAGAGCAAGTTCCAGGACAGCCTCCAAAACAATACAGAGAAACCCTGTCTTGAAGAACCAAAAAAAAAAAAAAAAAAAAAAACCAACCCATGCAGGGGGGGGGGTACTAATTAGTGCAAAGCCCAGCCTTGTGGACACAGGGAAGAAACCTGCTACTCCGGGCTGCAGCAGGCCGTCTGCAAACAGTTCTGTCCAAAGCGAGACAAGGGCGGAAGGTGGCGTCAGGGCCCTCCAGGAAATGCAGAAATAAATGCCCTTGTCAGCTCGGAGTGACCTGACCAGCCATTTTCAGGACAGTTAATTTCATCGAGCGGGTTGTCACTGGAGCCCCGCATTCTCAGCTCATTGTCACCACTCCAGTTTAGTCGTTTTCCAAAGATTCGGGTCAGCACCAAAAGCTGTTGGGTCTGCAGTCACCGGGGTTTTCAAATATTGTAGCCTTGTTTAAAAAAACAGTGGGCTGGCTGGAAAGTGATGACTTCTGATGGTCACATGTCCTTTGCTGAAGCAATCACTCGGTTGTCAGTGTGGAGTCAGTGACAGTACTTTGTTTATGACAGGTCTTGCTTGTAGCCTGGGATGACTTGGAACGTGCGATCCCCCTGTCTCTGTGTCCCTGTTGTGAGGCTTTTGGGCCGGAACTACTATGCCTTGCTGGATATGCATTTGAAAAACAGTCAGAGTCAGATGTGGTGCTGGAATTAAAGTCATGTCACTACGCTTGGCCTGCACCTGTGTTGTTGCTGTAGAATTGTTGAGGAAGGAGCCGGGGCCTTGCACACACAGGCTCTGCCACTGAGCGGCATCGTCGGGCTGCAGCTTGAATTCTTCTGGGGTGGGCTAGACTCCACTGGCTGCCTCTAGACTGACACTTCCCCTGCTGGTCTGGCCCAGTGACGTCTGGGTCTTTCAGTCACAGGTTTACCGGGCCAGGTGTTGAAGAAAGCTTGCTTGCTTGGTTGATGGGGGTTGGTTGGTTTGTTTTTAACAAGAGTTTTCCTAGGTAGCTCAGGTTGACCTTGAACTCGGTATGTTCTGCAGACAAGTCACTCCAGCTGGCAGAGTGGGCTTGGCTCTTAGCCAGCTTGGAATTCCTCCCAACAGATGAGTCCCTAGTAGAGTGGCCTTGATTTGTATAACTAGTCTTCAAATGGCCTGGTCCAGACTCAGATGAAACGCAGTCTCTCAGACCCGATCGTGAAGTCAGCGCCATCACATGCCTTCCCCCCTCAGTTCCCCCTTTCCCTTCCTTGGTTTTAAATTGTGGTTGTGTGTGTGTTGTTCTGGAGAGTGCAGTGTATCAGTCATGGGGATGCCCACTTGCAGTTCTAGCACTTGACAGGTAAGGCAAGAGAGTTTGGAGTTCAAAGCCAGTCTCAGCCACATAGCAAATTCACCGCCATTACGGGTTATATGAATCTTATATTTTTGGTTGTGAGCCTAGCCTTTAACCGCTGAGCCATCTCTCCAGCCCACGGGTTATATGAATCTGCGCCCCATCCCGGCCCCCAAAAAAAATCCATTTAAAATTTCTTCTTATTATAGCATGAAGAGTATAGAAGTATGGCTCTGTTGCTCGAAGACTTTTTCTTTTTGTCTCCATTCAGAACAGTCTTTGTTTGGGGGGTGTTGTTTGTTAAGACAGGGATTTCTTTGTGTAACCCTGGCTGTCCTGGAACTCTCCCTATTGACCAGGCTGGCCTCGAACTCAGATCCACCTGCCTCTGCCTCCAGAGTGCTGGAATTAAAGGCGTGTGCCACCACTGCCTGATTGTCTTGGATGATTTTTTTGTATTATGTCTGTATTTATGATCTTTTGAATGTGTCATCAAATGTAGGCACTAAACCTGTGGCCTTTCTATGCTACTCCAGACTGGAATGTAAGTTTAACTACTTGAAAATGTCTGTTCTGCCTATGGACTTTGTCGTCCAGAATTGACGTGCCGGAGGCCATCAATAGACTTTGAGCAGACGCATCTGGGGTAATCCTTTGGTTTCAGTGACTACAATCCCCATGGGGTTTCAGGGCTGATGAACTCATAGGGCTGAATGAGTGGTGCCCAAAGACCCAAAGTTGCTTGTCCCAGGAACTCTAGGCCAGCCTGAGCACCTCGTCAAGAGCCCTCTCTCAGTGGTAATAATAGTGAGGCGTGGGGGGCCATGTACCTCTTATTTCAGCTCTTGGAAGGAAAAGATGGGGATCTGTGTATGCTGAGACCTTCCTGTTTCAAAAAATACATATAAAAATAACAGTAGAAATAAAAATAATAAATGGCAGCTCGGGAGTGTAGCCGTAGGTGCTCAGAATCAGTTCAAGGCCAGCCCGAACAACTTACTTTGTCTTGAAAAATGTCTTGAGGTACTGAGGTATAGCTGAGGGGCAGAGAATTCGCCTCAAATGTACTGGGACAGAGGGAGGGACGAGACAGACCTTGTAAGTACATCTTCCTGAGGAAACAAAAATTAAATACTTTTTTTAATGAAACACAGTTTAATTTCATCATTGTCTGAAGAGTATACCAAGACAGTCATGACGGTAGGCATTATCAAACAATAAAGGCCTGTATATTTCTCAGGAACTGCCAAAACACAGTCGATGCTGTTTATTTTTGATGGCATGTGAGGTAAGAAACTGTCGGAAAATAACAAAAAGGTCTGATGCTTAGTGGCCTGTAGGAATTATGTGCAGGTGAGGCTGCAAGGCGCATGGGCCTCGGCCAGTCGCTCGCTGTTACCCGCTGCTCTCTCACAGCACAGCAGACAGCAGCCGTGTGGCCTAACCCACAGACGCGTTATGTACTCTAGCCCTTCACAGGAAACTGATGGCATCATTCAGCAGTGACAGAGACACTGTGGCGGGTCCTACTGCAGAGCATGTCACCCTCAGTTCCCACCTGTCACAGCTACCCATCACTGTCCTGTCATTGTGGCTGACAGCAGCTTGACAGCTTCCTGCACCCTACCGACCAGCACACTGGACACCTGCACGCAGAGGCACATCTAAGTCTGCCCACCACTCCCTGAGCCTGGAAGGAGTTAGCTGTACCAAGCGATTTTGTCAGCAAGCCCCACGTGGACCACCTGAGGCAAGAGACAGGCTGTTCTGTCCCATCTTGAAGTAGATGGGAGGAGTGAACCTGAAGAGATGACTTGGGTTAAGAGCACTGCTTGGAAATCATGAGGACTGGATTCCGAATCTCAGCAGCCATCTAACAGTGGGGTGTCCTGAACGAACCTAGAACCCCAACTCTGATGAGGGCAGCAACAGGAGGACCATGAGGTTTGCTGGCCTCCAGTGTAGCCAAGAAAATGTAGCCCTAGGCTTCGGGAGAGACCCTGCATCAAAGGAGTTGGGTGTAGAGGGCACCTGGTGCCTTCTTCGGAGCTCTCCATGTAGAGACCATGCATGGGCACAGGGGGCATAAAGAGACAGTGTGGACAGGAGAGTGGGGGAGACACTGACAGACTCCACTAATGGAGAGGTGAGCGCGACCTGTCAGACTCACTCTGCGCCCCACCCCCACTCCCCACCCTGTAAATTACAGTTTTATTTAGAGGGGATGTGGAGTGCAAGCGTGTGTGTGAAAATCAGGATAATTTGCTCTAGTCAGTTCTCTGTCTCCACCATGTGGGTTCTAGAAATTGAACTCAGATAGTTGGGCATGGTGGCAGGTACGTCCATTACCCACTAGGCCATCTTGCCAGCCCCCACTAGGATCTTTTTAGATTTTTTGTTTTGTTTTGTTATTAGAGACAGGGTTTCTCTGTAGCTTTGGAGGCTATCCTGGAAATAACTCTGTAGACCAGGCTGGCCTCGACCTCACAAAGATCCTCCTGCCTCTGCCTCCCAAGTGCCGTCCCCACTCTAGAATCTTAATTCAGTGCAACTGTTGCTGCTGGTGATACTTTGTGGAAAATCTTGGCTAATGGCTAAGCCAACAAAAACAAGGTGAAGCTGGGTTTGTCATGCCCTCTGTGACTGCCTGTCTGCCATTCAAATCAGCAGAACAGATTTGTTCTGCCCAGGGTTGGTTGTGGAAGCTGCTTTGGGGGCCTGTAGCAGCAAATCCTGGCAGCCAGAAAGAGAGAGGAATCGGGTCCCAGTAGGCCCCACTTTGAAAGCACAAAGCTAGGAATAGTCCAGGGGGCAGGTACTTGCTGGATTACCTGAATTGTCTTGACCTTCTGGGCTCAAAGGATACCCTGCCTTAGCGCCTGGGGCTGTGGTTGTGCTCCAAACAGTAGCTCTCCTCAGCCCCTAGTGGCTGCTGTCCTGGCTCCTCGGCTGGGTGCCCCTGAAGCCATCACGCGTGTCTGTCATAAATCTAAGCTTGCACATCGTCCCTTCTTGGGGACACTGGGTTGCTTCTTATTTTGACGATGGTTTAAGGAATGTATTCATCTGTCAAAACATTGACTCATGCAAGTGCCGCGGCACGCCCATAACCTCAGCCCCTAGAGGTGGAGGCAGGAGGATTGGAGTTCAAGGTCATCCTCAACTACATAATGAGTTGAGCCTGACTAAGCAACCTGAGATTCTGTCTCAAGTACCCTGCAGAAAGGGGGTTCCCACAGCTGGAGTGGTGACTTGTTAATCCCAAAGAGAGGAAAGAGCATCACCCCAATTCTTGGGTCAAATTATGCAAGCTTTACTTTCTGTCAGTCTGTGCTGGCTCCTTAAAGTGGGGTTTGAGAAAATAGCATGGAACACAGGGAAAGGTGAGGTTTTTATAGTCCCCCAAAACCTGCAAGGCTGGGGGAGGTTCAAGTTTTGGATTGTTTTCAGAGGAGTTTTGGTTATATAGGAGTTTGACTAAACAAAATTATTTGGCAGAACATCTTATCAGGATGGAGGGTGGGGTATAGGGTGTAGAACATGTCAAATTCCAGAAAATGCATCAAGACACAGTCTAGCCCAAGTTTTACAAAAAAAAAAAAAAAAACTGAACCTATTTTGGACTTATAATAAGATGGCTTTTAATCTTAAAATGGTGTCAGATTCGGGCATTGGTGGCGCACGCCTTTAATCCCAGCACTTGGGAGGCAGAGGCAGTCAGATCTCTGTGAGTTCGAGGCTAGGCTAGCCTGGTCTACAGAGCGAGTTCGAGAGTTTGAGGTCAGACTCCAAAGCAATACAGAGAAACCCTGTCTCAAAAAACAACAACAACAACAACAAAATGGAGTCAGGCTGGTCCATCGGTTATCCTTTTTTTGGTTTTTTTGAGACAGGGTTTCTCTGTAGCTTTGGAGGCTGTCCTGGAACTCACTCTGTAGACCAACGCCCGGCTTACATCTGTTATCCTAGCACCTGAGAAGCAGAGGCAGGAGTATTGCTTCAAGTTCAGTATACATAGTGAATCTTAGGTCAGCCTGGGCCATAGAGTGAGTCCCTACCTTGAAAAATAATAAATAGGCTAAAGAAAAATTAATAAAAATGTATATATTTTTGTGTATTACAGTGTGCGCACACACGCTCATTTGGTTGTATGTGTACCCATGAGAAAAGCCTTAGAACTTCGGGAAAAAATGGGAATATTGTTTGTTTCCTGTGAAGGTTTTTATCAGTGCGCTGGCTAATTTGATAACTTGACAGACAGGCTAGAGTCGTCTGAGGAGGGAACTCCAGCTCCACAAAACTGGACTGGGCAAACCTGATGTGGGACGCTGCAACCCATTGTGAGAGAGGGCACCTCTGAACTGGGCGCTATAGGAAAGCAGGCAGAGCCAGCCAGTAAGCAGCATTCGCGCATCCTCGATGAGCTCTGCTCCTGCCTCCAGCCCCCCCCCGTTTGAGTTCCTGTCCTGACTATCTTCAGTGATGGACTATGAATGTGGAAGTATCAGCCAAATAAACCCTTTCCCCAACTTGCGTTTGGTCATGGTGTTTCATTCCAGGTATAGTAACCCTCACTAAGACAGGCAGCAACATTTTAGCCTAGTATTTCTTTTGTTTTGTTTTGTCTATTGCTTTTCAAGACAGGGTTTCTCTGTGTAGCTTTGGAGCCTGTCCTGGAACTCGCTCTGTAGACTAGACTGGCCTCAGACTCACAGAGATCCCTCTGCCTGTGCCTCTGCGTCCAGAGTGCCGGGATTAAAGGTGTATGCCACCAACACCCGACCAGCTTAGTTTTTCTTGTGACCATGCTGTCTTGTGTTGCTCAACTTTTCGAAAGCAGAACCGTGTGAGTACCCGTGTGTGCGCATCATGTACCTGTTTCTGGTCTGAAGGGCACTCTTGGGTCTCGTGGAATTGAGAGGTGGTTTTAAAAAACAGGGTGCATAGTCCACCTGGCTGGTGTCTGGGTGATGTAGCCAGGGCCCTGTGTGGTCCCTGCGTGGTCAAGTCTCTTTCCCACGTCTTGCCTCTGGTACATGCCCCTCTGCAGTGTATACAGGCTGGCTGTTCCCATAGAGCTGGTGTTTTCTGGCTCTAACAGTCTAAGGTATTCCAAAGCTTTTTATTTGAACTGTGACATTCATGCTTTGTGGGCTTCATAGAGCACCGTCCTTCCGTGAAGTTGGATGCCTGAGCACTCGGTTTCACCATTGCCATTCCACAAACACCAGCACATGGTGCTGACTGCATGTTTTTCTGCCCCAGGGAACCATCAGCGTTGGAGTAGATGCCACTGACCTTTTTGATCGCTATGATGAAGAATATGAGGATGTGTCTGGAAGTGGCTTTCCGCAGATTGAGATTAATAAAATGCACATTTCCCAGTCCATTGAGGTAAAGCACAGACCCCTCTCCCGGTACAGCCTGGGCTGAGTTAATGAGGCGCAGTGCCGGAGCAGCTGGATGGGAGTCGGCTCAGGGTTTCTCCTCATCTTTATTTATGAAAGGCTGCAGTTAGCCACAGAGAGGGGAAGGGAGGGCGACAGCCTGTGAGCATGCTCCATTCGGCCTTGCTTGTCACCGCTCTGCCCCCACACGGGCAGCTGAGTGCTGGCACTCAACTCCCAAGGGCCTAGGTCTTGTCAGTTAGGAGTGCTAATGGTGTAAGCATAGATGGCCAAGGTCATGGAGATGTAGGCAAGAGGGCAGCCCTGGCTGGCAAATAGTTCTCAAAGCGAGCCTCGGTTCTGAGTCCTCAACTGAGCCAGGGAATTGGAACACCACCCTCTTGTCCCTGCATGCAGTAGGGACAGGCCACCCTACTTAGCACACCAGGGTCTCTGGCTCCATAGCATCTTCATTTATTATCAAGTGCATGAGCCTGCCCCATGGAGTTAATTCCAAGAAACCTGCTGTCCTTGAAGAGCTCTTAATGCAGCGAGAGCCTTGGTGGCAGGCTGGACTAGTGAGCCTAGACAGCACATTATGGGAAGGCACATGGTAGGCTGTCGATTGTAGTTCCTGCCGTGGCACACTAGACCTGGTGTCCAGCCACTCTCTGTGAAATTGCTGCAGCTCACCAGGTCTCCCTGACAATTACAGGCCATGGGCTTGATCCCCAACACCATAAACATTCATAAACGCACATGGCCGGTCATGATGGCACATGCCAGCACTAGGAGGCAGAGGCAGGAGCATCATCCCACAAGGAGGCTAGCCTCATCTGTGTACCCCACGGCCAGAGCTACATCGTGAGACCTTCTCAAACAAAGTTTTGTAAACTAAACTACTACTTTCATGGCCGCTGGCGTAAAGTGAGGAGACAGCCAGCAGTTGAGGAGGCCATTTGTGTCTGTGTCCTGAACTGCCAGGTGACCTGTGTCTTAGACTTACGGTGTGTCGCCATTGCTTCTGTTGACTTGCTACTAGTGGCTATCCTCTCTTAGGCACCCCTGACAGCTACAGACACAGCCATCCTCTCTGGAAGTCTCTCCACCCAGAATGGCAATGGCGGCGGCTCCATTAACTTTGCACTCCGACGAGTCACATCTGCAAAGGGATGGGGAGAGGTAAGACCAGCTGGATTCTGGCCCATACATGGGTCCTACATGGTCCCGTTTACAAGCTGACCTTCACTGCCTGAGGGTGACGTTGCTTGAAAGTCACCTGGGCTAGTAATAAATGAGGCAGCCGGGAGAGTGCCGGAAGGGCTGAAAACTCCATGTCAGGGCCCAAGGCCCAAACTGACACCCTGATAGGAGGCCTTCCTGTCGGGCAGCAGTCCAGGGAGAGTTGCGCCGCCATGGCTGGCCTACAACAGGTAGCCCTACAGTGAGAAGAGGTGTGGACTACCAGTCTTCCCCCCCCCCCCACCTGAGCCAGGGGAGGTCAGGGTTCAGGGTTGAGGGTCCCTATCCACAGTCTGGGATCCTGTGAATCTGGGCAGAGATACTGCTGAGATGCTAGGGATCTGCCCACCCCCTGTTGAGAGCCTGGCCAGGTTCATGCTGAGCCTGGGCTGCTGCTGGGGAGAGAGGCCAGTAATGCTTTCTCTGTTCTTTCCAAACAGTTGGAATTCGGAGCCGGAGACCTCCAGGGGCCTTTATTTGGTCTCAAGCTGTTCCGTAACCTCACACCAAGATGGTAAATGCACAAGACAGCTCCCTGTATTAGAGCCTTGGATCTTGTGATTGTGGACTTTGAAGTGGCCTGTGCTGTGCGAGCTCAGTAGGGCAAGTGCTTTGGGCAGCTTGCAGGCTGCAAAGACCTCTGCACTGGGAAGCAGGGCCAGTCTTCGCTCTGTACGGAGCAACTTTCCAGCTTGGGGCTATTTGCCTTACAGTCCTGTGAAACAGGATTTGTGGGTGTGTTGCTGTCTCTCCCAGAGCCGGGGGACTACCTGGTGGTTGGGTGGACTTGGCCACACCAGAGTTAACATCTCTGCAGCTACAGTGATGACACATCCTCCAGACTTCGGTCCTGTTTCCTTCCCAGCTAGTGCAACACAGAATACCCTGCCAAAAGCAACTTAGAGGAGACCATTGCAGACAATAGTCCATTACAGGGAGAGTCACAGCAGCAGGACCCTGAGGGAACCAGTCACATCACATGCATAATCAGGACAGAGAGGCCAGGTGTGGCGGCACACACCTTTAACCCAACACCTGGGAGGCAGAGGCAGATGGGTCTCTGAACTTAAGGCCAGCCTAGTCTACAGAGCACGTTCCAGGCCAGACAGAGAGTCTGTCTTCCTTGATGCTCAGCATCCAGATCAGCCAGGGCTCCCTACTCCATGGCCAAGTCCAAGCTCAGCCCTAAAGTGCCTCTGTAACACCAGGTGTGGTGATGAAGAGATGGGTAGAGGCCGGGGGATGAGAAGCTGAGAGTCACCCCAGCTACCTGTGGAGAGTTTGAGGCCATCCTAGCACGCAGAAGTTTTTGTGTCAGAGCAGACAGAAACTTGCTGGGTAAAGCCAGGCTTAGTGGTGTGTGCCTCAGACCCCACTGGTCTGCCAGCTGGTACAGAGGCATTAGAAAGTCGAGAGTGGTGTGGACAATGTATAAGACCCCTACTCCAAAAGAAAGCAGAAAAGGCTAGCATGGTTGTAATCTCATCTTCTGAAAGGTGGAAGCCTGAGGATTAGGAGTTCGAAGCCTGCCTTTGCTGCATTGCACATCAGAGGCCAACCACGGGCCTCCATGAGACCCTGGCCCCCAGAGCAAACAGCACTGTGGGTTGGTCTCCCTCTCTGTCCAGTGTCTGCCTTGCTTATCTGCCGATTCCCTCCCTTTGGAACAGAACCTGGGATCTCGTCCCTGTCTTTTTTCAGCTTCTCTGCACTTTCTCTTGGCACTCTAGTGATGACATTCTGTCTGCTGGCTCCACTAACTCTGACATGACTGAGTTTCAAACAGATGAGGGACTTTAGACTAGGTCTTGTGGAAACTAAAGAATTGGTTCTTCGTATTGATTTGGCTGAGGGAAACCCTTAGGAGTATAAAGTAATACTGATTTTAAAAGTTACTGTGTTAGCCAGGTGGTGGTGGCGCACACCTTTAACCCCAAGCACTCGGGAGGCAAAGGCAGGAGGATCTCTGAGTTTGAGGTCAGCCTGGTTTACAGAGTAAGTTCCAGGACAGCCAGGACTACACAGAGAAACCCTGTCTAAAAAAACAAAACGTTTGTATGCCATGGTTACCTTGATGGTTACCTTAATCCAAAGCTTAGAAAATCGAGAAAGAAATGACCAGACAATGCAGTGAGTGTCGGGGCTGTATCCTAAGGACACCAGTTATTTGTCAGCCTCCTTTGGTCCATACTGACAAAATACACTTCACCCAGAAGGTGGAGCCGCCCTTCCTGGAAGTCAGCTTCAGAGCCCTTCCCAGAAAGCTGGTTTTCTTCATTTCAGCAGGATGGACATCATAGTCCCTGGGCAGTTCGTAAGATTAAGAGACAGCTCAGCATTTAAGGGCGCTTGTGGAGGATCTGGGTTTGACTCCTCGCCTACGCGCCAGCTCCCAAGTCCCTGTACCCCCGTTCCAGAGGATCGACAGCACACACGTGGCACACACACCTGAATGTAGAGAGGACAGTCATACACACAAAATCTTTTTGTGGTGTGTGTGTGCGCGCATAGGCTGGGGTTCCACCCAGGACTTGTGACGTGTCTGCCATGTCCTTGAGGTAGGTGGCTCTACTCTCTCTTGTGAGTTGATGCATTTGGAGGCTGGCTCTTCGTGCTCCAAACCTGTGCTGAAGAAACCAGAGTGCCTAACATTGATGCTGGCTCTCAATGGCTGCAGAGCAGTGACCTCAGCATTCAGCAGAGTTTGGGGACCAACTACTGTCCTGAGCCCACTGTGTTTGGAATGTCACCAGGATTGCCTTCTGTTGGCTCTGTTGGTGGTGGTGGTGGGGTCACCAGAGAGGATCCTGAAAGACAGACCTCCCCTTTCTCTTCCCTTGCTCTCCTGCTTCCTTGCTAAGAGCTGGCCTGGAGATTTTGCAGTGAATCCCCACCTGGCAAGAGGACAGGAGCCTGTGTCACCTGTACCCTCTCTGTCTGTGTCCCCCCAGCTTTGTGACGACAAACTGTGCTCTGCAGTTTTCATCCCGTGGAATCCGGCCTGGCCTTACCACTGTGCTAGCTCGGAACCTGGACAAGAACACCGTGGGTTACCTGCAGTGGCGATGGGGCATCCAGTCTGCCATGAACACTAGCATCGTCCGGGACACTAAGACTTGCCACTTCACGGTGGCCTTGCAGGTGAGTGGAGGAGCTGCAGCCTCTTGAACATGGATCTCGTCTTAACCCTAACCCTGCAGAGCAGCTCTGGGTACACGCAGCAGGTCTTTGGCCTGTAGTGTGGATGGAGGGTGTGTGTTCTCAGTTACCCAGGTTCTCACGTCCTTATATCATCAGAGCGGTGCGCTCTCAGGTGCTGTGGCTAGGCAGAGACGTAGAAGCTGCTGGGAAGCGGGTCTCTCAAGAGTGGCTGCTCCTGGGTTATTCCTCATCCTAGCTCAGTGTTGCAGCGGTTTCTGTTTTTCCTGAGAGGCTAGCAAGCTGTAGTTTTCATGAGAAGTCTCAGTTTTTTTGTAGACATGCGCTTCATACCATTCCTGTTGATGGTTGATTTCATGGTTAAGACCTTGTCACCCAGCGCTGTCTCAGCAGCCCTGTTTTGTGTGACAGTCACTGCGGCGTGTCATTACACAATAGCGGCGGTGCTGGCTGCTGGTGCATGTGCACACACCTGCCCCGATGAAGCCTCCTGCAGCCAGATGCCCGGCAGCTGTAGGCAGCGAGGCATCGTCTTGCAGGATGGGGAGCCTGAAGCGGCCCCCTTTCACCTCTCCTCAGCTGGGCATCCCTCACTCCTTCGCACTGATCAGCTACCAGCACAAGTTCCAGGATGATGACCAGACGCGCGTCAAAGGGTCCCTCAAGTAAGTTTGGTCTTTGGTGGCACAGAGGTGAGCCAGCTCTGTGGAGGGCCCTCATGGAGCTGTGATGGGCACCTGTGTGTCATTGTCTCTCCTGTCATGCTCCCAGATTGCCCCTTGCCGGGTACTGGGATTCACTACTTTGTAGCCAGCATTGAGAGGCTCTGCTGCTCGAGAACCCCAGGATGTTCCAGTGCTGGTACCCACAGAAGCATCATGGCATCCACTCCCACGGAGGGCTGGGGGCATAGAGACTCAGCTGTTTGCAAGCAGCTCCTGTGTGGCTGGCGGGCAGGGGAAGCATGTGTCGGCAGCTGTGCTCTCCCACAGGGCAGGCTTCTTTGGGACAATAGTGGAGTATGGAGCTGAGAGGAAGATCTCCCGACACAGCGTCTTGGGTGCTGCTGTGAGCATTGGCATCCCACAGGGCGTGTCTCTCAAAGTCAAGTAAGTTGAGCCTGGCTCTTGCTAATGAGGGGGTGAGGTTGAATTCTTCTGTGTGTCACTGCTTGTGAGCTGCATGAGCAGAGGTCAGGGAGAACATAAACCCAGCAGTGAGTTGGTGGAGGCCTGGACTCTGCCCTGCTTACCCTGGGACTGTGCTGGTGTTTGGGCTCCAGTGGCCCTGTCCCCACCCAATGTCACCCAGCATCTGCAGCATCAGATCCCCCTTGTCTGATAGCATGTCGGCATGCACCCTTTCCTCCCCCTGCCCATTCTTCAGAAGAGCTGTCTGAGCTAGCTGCTCGGAAGGAGTGGCCTCACACAGCCCCGGCTACCCTGGAACTCACGCCAGGGACCCTGTTCTCAGTTACCTGGTGCTGGGATTTCAGACAGGCACATCTGGCTTCTGGGCTTGCTCACTTTCCGTTGTACCCCAGCCCTCTCTGGAGGGCGTCTTCCTTCCCGGCAGCAGGCAGCTGTCCATCCTCTTCCACCTTGGGGTTGATGGCTTCTGCCTGCCCATCCCACCACACACTTGTGTGCCGGATTCTTGGACAGCCGGCTGGAGCTCCTGGCTATCTCTTCCTGCCTCCCACAGGCAGCTCTATGGGGCACAGTCCTTCCTTGTCTGTGCGGACTCTTCCGCAAGTGGCCCAGTCTGGCCCCTGTTTTTAGTGCCATCATATACAGGTTTTGGTGTCTGGACGAAGTCCTACAACCTGTGCCCCACGACTCCCAAGGGACGACTGTACTGTATCTCCAATGTCCTCACCTCAAGGGCCCATCTTGGCCCGCTTCCTAAATCTCTCCTATGTGCACAGTGTCCCCTCTGTATCCATGGATCGCACACGTATGGATTTAAGGCACCGGACTCAGAAGTGAAGAAGGAAAAGCTGCCCAGATACAGACAGTGCAGTTGTGACAGCTGTGTGCACAGCGTCCGTGTTAGACATGATGAGAAGTTAGTGAGTGCTATTTAAAGTCTCTGGACATGGCGGTCGGGACTGTGCCACTAGTGTCAGGGCGGCCTGGGACTGGAAGACAACTGCAGTAAAGTGCTTGCAAGGAGGACTCGCCTTTGACCCCCAGAACTCATGGAAAAGTTCAGTGTGGTCACGTATGCTTCAGTCCCAGGCTGGAAGGTAGAGACAGGCGGATTCCTCGGATTTACTGGCCAGCCCACCCTAGACTGCTAGCCATCTTCCAGACCAGTGAAAGGTCTTGTCTAAGAAAAACAGAAATGTGAACTGTTCCGTAGGGATGACACTGAGGTTGTTTAGACCTCCATACGTACACTGTATCCACCAAAAAAGTTGGACAACTAAATTCTGAGTGGCAATCAAGTGCCCCCTTCTGGCTTCTGCAGGTACTGCGTGTGCATGATGCAGTCATACGTGTAGGCAAAACACTCATGCGCATAAATCAAATATGTTTTAAAATACTGATGAGAATGCATAGGCTTCTGCAGACACACTACCATTTTACAGCTCTGAGCTGAGACTTGAGGACACCGGTGGTTGTCTGCACTCTAGCCCACCTTTATCTGAAATGGGCCGCAGGTGAGGCTGAGCACTTGTGATGACGACACACTTTGAATTGCCTTCTCAGGGACAGCATGTCACCTGTCACCCGTTGTTTTCTATGACGCTATTAAGCTGCACAGACTAAATTTTGGTTTGGTTTGGTTTGGTTTTTCAAGATAGCTTAAAGATTTGTTATCTAATTGTGTGTGTGTTCTGTCCACATGAATGTGAGTGCTCCCAGAGGCCAGAGGCGCCAGATCCCCTGGAGCTGGGGTTTCAGGCAGCTGCAGGCTTCCAGATATAGGCACTGGGAATTGAACTCTAATGGGAGCTCTTGTCCCTGCTGGTCCTGCCGCCCTTCAGCCCCAAATGAACACATGGATGCTATGTTAGTTATAAAACTGTTGGCCAGTGACTTGGGCTTCCTGTTGGCTGGCTCTGTCCTAATTATTAACCCATTTCTATTAATGTATGTATTTCTATGTGTTCTTGGCTTACCGGAGAACACCTGGTGCGTCCTCTCTTCCCCGTGCTCTGCATGACAACTCCGCCTGCTACTTTCTCAGAGTTCTCATCCCCTAGCCCTGCCTATAATCCCTGCGTGGCCAGTCAGCCAGTGTTTTATTCACCAACCAACAAGGGAAGCATATATGCAGAAGGACACTCCCTTCAGAACTTGGTCCTCAGTGTGGTCTGAACTACCAAGCTGCTTCTCTGTCTCCTTCTGTTAGTACTCAGACATCTGTGCTGGCCTGCCGTTGGGGTTCTGATGGGACCCGCCCTCAGCTGCTGCCAGTAAGAGCACCACCTGTGCTGTTCACTGCAGGCCCTGTTAAAGGGGCCCTGCCCACTTCCCGTTTTTCTCTCTGTGTCTCTGTCCTCTCTCTTTCTCCCCTTCTTCTCTGCCTCCTCCCCCTTCTCTTCTGCTACTCCTATGTCCAGAGCCCAGTCTCCCCCTCACTCCCCTCCTTTCTCATTCCCTTTCCCCTAATTAAAAGCCCTCCATGGGATTAAAGGCGTGTACCACCATGGCCTGGCTTTTTTTTTTTTTTAAGAGGGTCTCACTAGATAGACAATGCCAATCTCAAACTTACAAAGATCCAAGTAGCTCCGCATCCTCGCTGATGACTTAAAGGTGTGCTTCACCACGCCAGGCTTGAGTCCTTCCTAATAAACATGGTTTTCAGCAGTGAAGCTCTTTATGGTCTACTTTATCTCACAGACTTGATATATTTTCATTATCCAGTTCAGGTTGTTAATCCACCTTCAGGAGGCAGAGGCAGGTACATACCGAGTTCCAGGCCAGCCACAAATACACAGTAAGCCCTGTCTCCAAAAAAAAAAAAAAAAAAAAAAAAGAATGAATGAATGAATATGTATTGCTTGAGGAAGAGGGAGGGAAGAAAGGAAAAATGAACACTGCTTGAGCCAACTGTGGCGTCTCATGCCTATAATCCATCTGAGGTGGGAGTATTGCTACACAGTCACGGCTAGCCTGGGCCCCACAGGAAAACCTTGTCATTATTATTATTATATTATTACTGTGTATACAGTCCTCTGCCTGCAGGCCAGCAGGGGGCGCCAGATCTCATTACGTATGCTTGTGAGCCGCCATGTGGTTGCCGGGAATTGAACTCAGGACCTCTGGAAGAGCAGCCAGTGCTCTTAACCTCTGAGCCATCTCTCCAGCCCCTCTTTTTTTTTTTCTTTTTCTTTATACTCCCCCTTAAGATTGTTGTTTTTGTTTGTGCTGTCGTGTCCGAGCAGGCGGGTGTGACGTAAGACAGAAAAGGTGGCTGGAGAGAGAGCCGTGGTGGGAAAACCTTGTCTTAAACAGCTGCATTCATGCATACACACCTAAATGAGCTGGGTAGCTGAATGGTGCAGTGTGTGCTTAACCCACACAAGCCCTGGGTGCTGCCGCAGCCCCAGAACACAGTGGGAAACATGCCTGTCCCGTGAGCTCGTCATAGTCACCTGTGCTGCTGCTGTCAGAACTCAGTCTTTGTTGTAGTAGATCTTTTCTGTACGGCCACGGAGACTTCTTACTGGGAAACTCGGCCAGTAGCTTAGGCGTGTTTCTAACTAGCTTGTATAACTTAAATTAACTCGTTCCCGGTTACCTTTACCCCATACTTCCCATGCTGCTTCTTCTGAGTCTCCTGGCTTCTCTGCCTTCTTCCCAGTGCCCTTTCTGCCTGGAAATCCCATCTGTTTCCTACTGTTGGCTGTTCAGCTTTTTATTAAGCCAGTCAGAGTGACACATCTTCACAGTGTACGGTGTTGTTATTCCACAATACTATGTTTTAAGATAGAATAAACATTAATCTGAGGCCCAGCGCGGTGACACTGACTGCGAGAGACTGGAGCAGGAGTGTCACTTGAGCCTCGTGTTCAAGGACAGTGTGGGTAACATAGATACGTCTCCTCCCTACCCCTCATCTGAAAACACGAATAAAGCCCATTACTTCTTGTTACAATTTATTTATGTGAATGTCCATCTGTGTATAGATATACATGCAGATGCCCGTGCAGGCCAGCAGAGGGCATCAATCCCCACGAGCTGGGGTTTCAGGCAGCTGTGAGCTGTCTAGCGCGAGGTCCTCTGCAAGAGCAGCCAGTGCTCCCAGCCATCTCTCCAGCCCCCAGTGCTCATATGTGGTCACATTCACAGCTGCTCTCCGCAGCCACTGATCAGGAGCTCCTTGACCTTTACAAAGCGTTTTAGTTAGGAGCCTGAAGTCTGGAGTTGTGTAGTGGCATCTTATTCCACCTGTAGTGTTGGGGTGCCACACCCCAAGGGAGAGCCTGAGTGAGACCGCCCCTCTTTCTTACAAGTGATCTTGCCCACACACCGAGCCCACACCTGAGGCCGCTACCTCGGTACCGTAGGCGGCACAAGACGCCACTACAGAGTTGTTGAGACTGCTTCTCTCACTGAGACAGGTGCTTTCCGGGGTTGCTTTCCTCTCCCGAGGCCTTTCACACGGCACAGCCATGGGACGTTGACCCGGTTAAACACTCACTCTCCGTTGCCCACCTGCCCGCCCTTGAGGCAGCCTGCTGTGGGTTCTGGGCCTCACACGCATGAGCAGCTCAGCTTTGGAGTGGTGTACTGCTCTCTAGAGGTGGCTGAGCCCCAACGCTCGTCCTGTGTGTTTTGTCCTTGTGTTTCCCACAGGCTAAACAGGGCCAGTCAGACCTACTTCTTCCCTATTCACCTGACGGATCAGCTGCTTCCCAGCGCTGTGTTCTACGCCACCGTGGGGCCTCTGGTGGTCTACTTGGCAATGCACCGTTTGATCATCAAACCATACCTCAGGGCTCAGAAAGAGAAGTGAGTTTGCACTAAAGCCTCTGCCTTGGTCTCCTACAAACTGGACAGGTGACTGGGTCTACCCCTGGAAAGTGCAAGTGAATACTAGGGAAGTTCTAAGCATGGCGTCTGGGTCCTGACAGGTCCTAGTCCCTGTTAGCCCGCTGCAGCGCAGGGAGCTGTGTTCCCTCTGGCCGGTCAGTCCCACCCTCAGAAATGACTTGTAAAACCGGCTTCAGACGGGACCAGCACACATGCTGCCTCCCGCTCCTCCATCCTAGACCTCTCTCCTGGAAACCACTGAGCTTGACGTGGGATGGGTGTGCTCTCTGATGCACCTGACTGTAGTCATGGAAACCACTGAGCTTGACGTGGGATGGGTGTGCTCTCTGATGCACCTGACTGTAGTCATGGAAACCACAGAGCTTGACGTGGGATGGGTGTGCTCTCTGATGCACCTGACTGTAGTCATGGAAACCACTGAGCTTGATGTGGGATGGGTGTGCTCTCTGATGCACCTGACTGTAGTCATGGAAACCACTGAGCTTGATGTGGGATGGGTGTGCTCTCTGATGCACCTGACTGTAGTCATGGAAACCACAGAGCTTGACATGGGATGGGTGTGCTCGCTGATGCACCTGACTGTAGTCATGGAAACCACAGAGCAGAGCTAGCTTTGAAGCTGCTTGTAGGGAGCCCCTCAGCCAAAACTGAGTCCAAGCATCCCTTGAAAACCCAGTGATGGCAAGGCCCTTGGTTAGCCTCGCAGACCCTGCGACACTAAGCTTGAGGAGGGACAGGGTGCCCCCTTGTAGTTGCCTGTGACCTCTGTTATTACTAGAGCGTAGGTGAAGGGGATCTCAATCTTAAAGGACAGTGCACAGGCCTGCAGCCCACAGGCTGGCCTGGGGTTGCTTTGGAAGGATAAATTCTAGAAGTAGAAATCCAGTTAGGGTCACAGACTGCATGCTGGGCTCAGTCCAGCAGGGGGCGCAGTTTGCTCACCATAGAGTCACTTGTGCCCTGCTTCTCTCCGAAAGGGAACTGGAAAAGCAAAGGGAGAGCACAGCCAGCGACATCCTGCAGAAGAAGCAAGAGGCGGAGGCAGCTGTGAGTGTTCCGAGCCCAGGCAGCCTCCTCTGCCCCTTCTCCATCCCATCCTGCTGAAACTGGGACTGGGGGAAACTTCCAGTGTGGATGGCAGAGCCTAAGGGTTTCTCTTCCCCAGCACCCTCATTTACTTGTAAGCCTTTCCGTGACCTGTGGGGACATTCTGGAGACTCTGGTCCGTGCCTTGAGATGAGTGCAACCCTCCAGAGGCCTAGCCAGGCCCATAAAGGGGCAGGTGCTACCCTGTCCCTCTGTACTGCCTGCTGTGGGGGTGAGGGAGCAGAGAGAGGGCTCCAAAGACTGAGACTACAGAGAGACGGGTCCCTCTCGAGAAGGCCCAGCTGCTCACTCGAAGTGTCTGCTGTAGGGCAGTCTCACTGTGTGTTCAAGGTGACCTCATACTTGTTCTGTAGCCCAGGTTAGCCTTGAAATGCATCCCTATGTATCCCTTATTCTTAAATACTGACCATGTGTTCAGTAGTTTCTCGTCCATCATATGTATGTACAGAGTCACTGCGAAGGAAGGCGCTGTCCCCTGCACCGGGGTCACGCTGTGGGGTCATGCCCTGTCAGGGGACTCCCCAAAAGTGCCTCAAATAGGGCTGAGGGCTTCAAACCTTCTGATGGGTGAGCTGAGCTCAAGGCGTGCACTCCTTCCCCTGCAGCCCCTGAGCACAGGGTGTTTGGCATACTCTGACCAAAACCAGTCCAGAGTCCCCGATGTGTTGTCTTCTCTCAAAGGTTCGGCTGATGCAGGAATCTGTCCGGAGAATAATCGAAGCAGAGGAGTCCAGAATGGGTGAGAAGGTGCCCCCTCTCTGGGCTGGGCTGGACGCTGGGGGTTTCAGGTCTCCAAAGGGAAGTGGCAGGACGCCCGTGTGAGCCCCGCCACTCTGTGACAGGGCTTATCATCGTGAACGCCTGGTACGGGAAGTTTGTCAACGACAAGAGCAGGAAGAACGAGAGGGTGAAGGTGATAGACGTTACCGTGCCTCTGCAGTGCCTGGTGAAGGACTCCAAGCTCATCCTCACCGAGGCCTCCAAGGTACACAGCCATGCCACCAAGGCCACCTGTGCCATGTGACAGGACCGTCAGGCCTGCAGTGACCGTTTCCTTAAAGTGCTGGGTAACTTCTGTGCTGGAGCCACTGAAGTCTGCCCAAAAGTGTCCACTGAGCGTCCAGGCGCCACCAAGCAACCTACCTGGCTCTTGTGTTTCATTTGGCGGCAAGTTCCGGAAGGAGGGTGTAGACGCATCTGGCCATGCCCGGTGGGCTTCAGGCTGGATGTGAGAGGGGGCTTGAGGGTCCGTCTAGCACTACCTCAGTATACAACTCTGAATTCTCGTTCCGTCATCAGGCCCCTTGTCCATGCTGTGCCCTGTTGGTGGCGGGGGGAGTGGCTTGGGCCTTGAGGGCTGACCCTCTGTTTGCTGCAGGCGGGGCTGCCAGGGTTCTATGACCCATGTGTTGGGGAGGAGAAGAGCCTGCGGGTTCTGTACCAGTTCCGAGGCGTGCTGCACCAGGTGATGGTACCTGACAGTGAGGCCCTGAGGATACCAAAGCAGTGTAAGTAGCTGGCCCGTGCTGTCACCTTCCCTCTACCAGGTCATCCGTGGCCGCTGAGTTTGTGAGGGATCTGTACGCTCTTGTCACAGATGGAGTTAAGTTAGACCATGCCCTTGGCCAGGCGCGGCACTGCAAGTACCCAACAAGTTCAGCAGGGACAGGGCTTCCACGCCATCCTGGGCCGCACAGTGAGGCTCATCTCAAAACAAGTCCAGCCAGGCAGTGGTGGGCACGCCTTTAATCCCAGCACTCAGGAGGCAGAGGCAGGCAGAGCTCTGTAAGTTCAAGGCCAGCCTGGTCTACAGAGCGAGTTCCGGGACAGCCAGAGCTACACACAGAGAAACCCTGCCTCAAAAAGTCTAGAGAGATGACTCAGCTATTCAGAGCGCCTATTGTTCTTACAGAGAGCCCAGGTTCAGGTCCCAGCACCAACACACATGCTCACAAGCACCTGTGACTGCAGTTTCAGGCGCTCGTGTATGTGGTGTGCATGTGTAACACCCAGGCAGAGCATATACACAGATACACATACATGCACAGAACATACACACAGACTTTAAAGGGTAGGAGGGCCACTCTTGTCACAGCTGAGTGTCTGTGTGGAACTCGGGGCAGGGGCAGGCGGGCTCTGAGCTCCAGGTCAGCCAGGGCTACATAGAAAAACCCTGACTCAAGACAAGCAGACAGGCAGCAGGGGCGGCTCTAGCCCAGCCTTGGGGCAGGAAGTGGAGGCGCTCGCCCATCCTCTGCTGACTGACTTGTGCTTTTCTTCCAGCTCACAGGATCGATACAGACGGATAAACTACTTGGAAACCTGAGTGAAAAAAGGCTACAAAAATATTCTCCTGGGAGTCTACAAATTTGGAAGCAGGGGAACCCAGCCATGAGATGTTTTTAGTTTATTCCTCAAGAAGGCGGCACTGTATCAATTATGTGAAGGGACACGCAGACAGCCTAGCTTCGTGGGTGCTGTGGGTAAGGACTGAGGCACCCCACCCTGGCCAGGCCACAGCACGGCCATCTTTCCCCAAGGATCATGTTCCTGGAGGGCAGGGCCCCAGCTGACTATTTGCTCACCCCTGGCCCTCATCATGAGTGGCCATGCATAGCAGCTCTCTGGAGTTGTTTGGAACATTCTACCCTCACTCATGGGACTGCTCTTCCTGAAGTCCACGCTGCACATGGAAAACATGCAAAGGAAGGAAGGTGTCGTGTGCTGCCCAGTAGACGCCCACAAGCCACCTTTCTCTTCTGAAACTTTACAGAGTGGACTGAAGAGGACTGTGGGTTTATAAAACTGCTTTTTATCTGAGAACAACGGGTTTGGAAACTAGTCTCTTTCTTCCCACTTCCAGAGCTTCTCAAATCATTCCTCCAGGCCCTGGCTTGGGACAGACAGGGGAGACCCCAGGTCCCCGGGTGCACTGTCCAGGCACACTGCCCACACTGCTGAGAGATCCTGCTGCCAGTGGCCCGCCCCTTCACCGTACACCACAGGACACCTGTCCTGCCTTGCCTGCAGCCACTCTAGAGGATGGTGTTGGAACGAGGGGAGCTGGGAGCTAAGTCTTGGAGGCTAAAGCCTGGGTGTGGACCCAAGGCTGGCCCAGGTACCTGTACCTCCAGTGAGTTCCCAGCAGGTGGTGTTGTTGCTTGCCAGGCCAGGCCCTCAGGGAGAACCCTCGAAGGGCTCCCAGTTCCCAGACTCTTGTGTTGCACACTTGCTGGGTGTCACTGCTGGTCCTCACCTCTGAGCAGGCGTCACACCAGCAGTGGCTCTGAACGTGGCCCCACAGCAGTAAGTGCTGACGGCGGGCGCTGCCTCCCCGTTCTCATAATCCTTCCATTTTAAAAGCAGCTTGATCTGTAATACTTAACTTTTTTTTTAAAGAGGATATTTCTTTGCCCCTGATTGATGTGCAGTTTGCACTGTTGCACGAGCCCAACTCAGTGTCCTGTGGCTCCCTGGGCACTGCTGCCCCTTCTGTGTAAAGCTGACTGGCAGCACTGCCCAACAATAAACCTGACCGAAAGCTGAGGCTGCTTTGTCCATTGGTGTGCGTGTATCAGGGAGAACGGTGGAGTCGAGGGCTCCCACGGCCTGGGCTTTCCCCAGTCCTGCTGCTCGAGCTTAGACCATTGGCTGCAACCTGAAGCTGGGGTTCCAATCTGTGCTAAATGTTTGCCTGAGATACAAGACCTCAAAATAAGGAAATCGGACGTAAGATCTTGTGTTTGCTTTTTAATTGTGATCTGGCTATGTAGTTTAGGCTGGCCCAGAACTCATGATTCTCCTGCCTGTGTCTCCTGAGCATTGGAGTTACAAGTGTGTACTCTACTTCTTAAAAGACTCTTCGTGTGTGAGTATTTTGCCTACATGTGTGTACCACGTGTTTGCATAGTACCCTCAGGGGTCAGAGGAGGGCAGAAGCCCCTAGAACAGAGTTACAGATGGTGGTAAGCCATCATGTAGGTGCTGGCCACTAAGCCTTGTCCTCTGAAAGAGCAGCAAGGACTGCACCCCACCCTGCATCCATCTATCTATCATCTATCCGTCTGTCTGTCTATCATCTATCTATCATCTATCTATTTATCTATCTGTTTTAGTCAGTCTGTAGTCAGTGATCATACCTGTCTGTCCTGTATCAGAGAAAGAGTATAAGCAGCAAACCTAAACACAGAGTTCAAAGAATTTATTCTGTTTACAAAAACCAGCCCAGAGTCACTCAGAAATACAGGCTGATGTGGGGGACCCTTGCCTGGCTAAACATGTTCCTGGAGGCAAACGGCAAGCATGGCCACCTCTCCCTCGGGAACATCTCTGACAGGGCCGTGACAACTCCTAACATTGGTCACTGTTACAGGACAGCCCCACAGCTGCCATCCTCAGCCCAGGAGACCTGAGATTGTGCCTCTCGCTCCCCCAGAACTTGGGTCCCTCCCCTGACGACTGCCTGTCTCAAGGCCCCTGCAGCATTAGTGGCCAGTGGGGAACCGCCGAAAACCACTTCCTGCTGGGGGCCACCACCCTCGCCACACCCCAGAGCTTGCTCGGGCTCAGCTCCGCTGTGCCGGCCGTCTGGCCCGTGATCCCCGCTGTCCCTCTCTGTAGGCTCGCAGGCGGCTACACGTCCTCCGGAGCAGCAGCCTCTGGGCCCTCAGGCGCCTCCGCAGCCTCTTGTTTTCCTTCAGTGTGAAGTAGAGTTTTTTTTTTAGGGTATCCAAGTCCAAAAGGGCGTAACTGTGATCAGGCGGCTGTCCCAGAAGGGGCCTTTTCGACCCCCTGGGGCTGGCTTGCAGGCCAGGGGCCTCCATTGCTTCTGTTCTCTCTGGTAAGGCCTAAGGACAGACATCAGCGAGTGGTAAATAGGAGCTGTCCAGATGGCCCTGTAGCCCCAGAAAAAAAGGCATCTGAGCTGGGGGTCACAAATGCCCATTACCCTTGGAGTTTGGCCCCAGCCCTGTTTCCCCTTGTGAAATCCTGGCGATGCTCAACCGCCATCTTGGTGCTCCTAGAGAGGCTCTGAAGTCCTGCCACCTACCCCGCTGCTCCTGTCCTGTGGGTCCTCTGGGGCACCTCGGAGACCAGCCTGTACCCGGGGTCTTACCTGTGTCGCAGGGCCTTCAGCGTCTGGAGACTCAGACTCTTCCAGTGTGCTGTCCCCACCAGCCCCCACCTCAGGACAGACCTGGGAACAGCAGGTGGAGTCAGGCTGACTGAGCTGGCAGACACCGGATCCTCATACAGCTGCCACTGTCCATCCCTGAGTAATCCCTGCGTGGGGCTGCAGCCCAGTCCTGTGCGTCCTCGGTCAGCCTGCCTCACTCCCACTCCGAGACGGAAGCCTATGACCCACTGAGGTCTGATGCCAGCGGACGGAAGCCTGCAGCCACAGCTTCCCTCCCAGAGAGCATCCTGGCCCTAACGCTCTGCCTTTAGTGTGACTCCAGCTTGTGCGTGCACCGCCTGGCTGGGATGTGTGAGCCTTGGGATGTGAGCGGAGCCGCTGTGCTGGCCTCTGAGAGGCAGTATCTCCTGTCCCTCGCCAGCCTCGAGACACAGCCCGGGTTTAGGCAGTGGGGCCTAACAATGGGCCAGACAGTGGCCTGGGGCACCCGAGTCCCCTTGTTCAGCCTGAAGTGGGGATGACCGAACCCAGCCGCGTTCACTCCTGCTTTCACGAGCTACTTCCCTAAATCCTGGGTCGGTGCCACCTGAACATGTCCCCACAGCTCCAAGGACCTGAGTCATCTGCATCACCTGGGAGCCGTCCTCAGCCCCTCCGTGCCACGCAATGGAAAGGTTATGCGGATCTGAGGTCCCTGCTACCTGCTGGCAGTGCCCACAGTGGCCACCTGTTTACCTGGGGACCCTGAGAACTGAAGTGAACCTCCTGAACCTGCTCAGATCTCTTCCAGCCTCTGTCCGCTGTCCCTGCTTTCTCCTCCACCTAAGCTGTCACCCTCCACCACGTCACTATAATAATAGAGCACACGGCATACCTCAGGCTGGAATCTGACAGTCTGTGCCTTCTTAAATGTAACTTTTTTTTAAGGTTTATTTATTTATTTATTACATATACACTTTTCTGCCTACACGCCAGAAGAGGACACCAGATTGAATTGTAGATGGTTGTGAGCCATCATGTGGTTGCTGGGAATTGAACTCAGGACCTCTGGAAGAACAGGCAGTGCTCTTAACCTCTGAGCCATCTCTCCAGCCCCCAGTCTCTGCCTTCTAAGTGCCAAGGTTGCAGGCACGCACCATCACACCTGGGTTTTTTGTTTGTTCCCATGTACCTCAGACTAGCCTCAAAGCAAGGATGACTGAACTTCTGGTCCCCGCCTCTGGAATGCAGGGTTGCATGCACAACCACAGCTCAGACTTCATGCAGTGCTGGGGATCTAACCCAGGGCTTCCTGCATGCCAGGCAAGCCCCTCTTCCCCAGGCCCCAGCGCGGATGCTTCAGTGCTAACGGAGCCTTAAATTACTTTTTTTTTCGGGGGCAGGTGGGGGGACAGGTCTCGTGTACCCCAGAACCGGCCCTACCCTCCTGCCTCTGGCTCCAAATTACGGGCTGACGCGCCTGCGTCACTGTAGCTCACGCGGCGCAAGGGTGTCCATCCTAGGCCAGTGCGTTCTCCCACCGCCTGAGCTCCACCCTCAGCCCAGCCTCAGCTGTTTTCACCTCCCGCTCAGCAGACACACAGTCGCACCGGCTCCCTACCTGTGTGGGGCTCTGAAAAGCGAACACTGTGGGCACAGCATTGTGTTTGAGGTTCTTGCGGTTCCCGAAAGCGCTGAAGCACTCGGGTCTGAAATGCTCGGAGCAGATGACCGTGTGCTGCTTGGGCTTGAAGTTGGCCCGGCCGATGCTCAGCACCCACTTCTTCAGCAGCTCCGGGCGGCTGAACGGAAACCTGTGGGCATAGCATTCCACAGCAGCGCTCTGGGAACTCGGCAATCCACCTTGTTAACCCTGTCTAACACCCAGATACTCTCACCACGGCTGTGATGGGCGCGTATATGAAACCCAAGATCATAAACGTGGCAAGAGAGCTATGCTCCCAGAGTACACGCGAGGAGAGTCACCCGTTCCTCCAGGAGCTTACTGCTGGCCAGGCCCCGATTTCCTGCCAGAACATGGTGGCAGTGGGTAGGACCAAGCCCCTGCCCTCTGGTGCCTACATCCCAAGCTGCAGCAAACCAGGCTGAGGTGGACTGAGGGCAGGAGCAGATGAAAACCATAGGGAGAAGCCCGTGGTTATGGCTAGCCAAGATGACATTTGAACAGACCCTGCAGCAAGTGGAAAGACAAACCCTGTGGCCTTCACAGACGATGAGTGGGGGTGGGCGCCCAGGAGAGAGAAGGACCACATGATGGCTTTATTTAGATATTTAGATAGATGGGACATCCCTGTGGGTTCTGGGTAAGGGAAGGAGAGGGAGTCTGTGTCCACCCAGGATGCAGGGAGAATGGCTTGGCAGGAGAAAGTGCTTGGGGGGGCGGGGCATTGTGAAAGCAATACTAGGTTAGAAACTCAAGTCTGCGATTCCAGCACTTGGAAGGCTGAGGCAGGAGGACCACTTTGAGTTGTCAAAAACAACCACCAAAAAAAAAAAAGCTAGGTGTGATGGCACACGTTTTTATTCCCAGCATTTGGGAGACAGGCGAATGGATCTCTCTGAGTTCCAAACCAACCTCATCTACATAGCAAGTTCTAGGCCAGCCAAGGCCTTTTCTCTGAAAAGAAAGAAAAGAAAAGGCAGGTATCAAGGTTTGCCTGTGAATCATGAAACCGTGGACAGGAAGGCGTTTCATGTTTGCCGTGGAGGGGGTTTGGGTGAGCAGAAAGTTGAAATGTTAGGTGTCAAGTTCAAGGTGCTCTTTGGACTGCCAAAGTACAGGAGTGGCAGATGGGCACGTGTGCCTGGGATGTCCCTACAGAGCCCGTGTCCCCAGGAGACTTGAGCACTCTGGAAGAAGCTCTAGGCGAGGAGAGCAAAGGAGACAGGTCAGGGAGATCCCTGACAAAGGTCAAAATGTGCCCTAGGATGCACGTGGGGAAAAGACCAGTGCAGCCAAAAGCTACCAAGTGAGACCAAGGCAGACGACACGGAAGTACAAGCAAGACCTGGGCACAGCGGGGTAGCCTGGGGTCACCGCGGAGGATCCTGGTCCAAGCCAGCCTGGGCTACACAAGACCTCCGCTCTCAGGAAAGTAGGAGAAACACGGCCTGTGGCAAGGACGCAGACGAGAAGTCACAGCGTGGCGCGCATGAAAAATGCCCTTTCCGGTATATGCAATGACTGTCAGAACATTTTAGGGGCAGCAAGATGAGTCAGTCGGTAGAGGCACTTGCTGCCAACCCTGATGGCCTGAGCTCAGTCCCCAGGATCGATCTGTACGGCCAGAGGATAGAACCAACTCCTGAAAGTTGTCCTATGACCTCTGCTCAGGCACTGCGACATCTGTACCCGCACACAAATGAAAACTTAAAAAGCAAGAGTGAATGGCGGTGACTGTCCCCGGCGTATATGGCAACATGACCGGGAGGCAGCACAGGTCCCTTGGTAACTAACTAACTGCCCATGCGGCTACCCAGAGGCCCTTCGTTCGCAGAGCTTAGACTCCCGTGCAGAAAAGAAAGCAATCGTGCACCTGGGGCAGGGATGACTTTCACAACAGCGCCCGGAGGGAGAAAAGCACACGCTGGGACTCCATTACTCAAGGCTAACCCCGGCCACACGATGCACTCACACACAGCTAACCCCGGCCACACGATGCACTCACACACACTACAGGCAGACTATCTCCCCGTGGGCAGGTGAGAAGACGTGGGTGCCAGCGGAGATTCCTCTGTGGCTGCCAACTGATGTGTGCATTTTTCTGTGGCTGCTACTCTTCAGTAGACACACTGAAACAGCGTACCGGGCGGGGGGGGGGGGGGGCGGGCAGCGGGGCCGAGGGAGGGGGGCCCGGTGCGAGCAGGCTGCCAGGCCGAGCTCGGGGAACTGCGCCCGGAAGGCTGACTTCGCTCGAAGCTGTGGCCTTGGAGGGTGCTTCCCTGGAAAGGGCTACGCACGAGTTGGGCTGGGGAAAGGAGTCCTGGGACTACAAGGCCGGGTATCCACCACCTTCCCACGATGCAAGTCCCTGCCATGCGGCCGGCCATCCTGGAGGGCGCTCATTCCTCCAGGCCAGGTACCTGGGCCTCCCTCGAGGTGACGCAGGCAGCAGGAGGCCAGAGCAGGGACAGGGCCAGACGCCGCCCACGCCCAGCCTGTTCACACTGAGCGCCTAATGTTTCCAGGCGAGATGGGTCAGCCCAAGCCTGCACCTAGAGGGGCCGGCGGGGCGCAGGCTGAGGCCGCGGGAGCGCCGCTGACGCCCGGGCCATCCCCCTCCGTGCAGTCCCGGTCCACTTCGCCCGCACACCCTGGGCCTCCCCGGGGCTCCCGCCCGGTGCACTAGGGTCTGTGAGCGCTCCATAGGTTCTGGCCCCAGTCTCCCACTCCTCACCGGTGGAAGGTGAGCTGCTTCCTGCGGCTGCTGTAGCGGTTGCAGCATTGCCTGGCCGCACAAGACTTCGGCATCTCAGAGATGGGCCCGCTGCCCCTAACAAAGATGGCGGTACGCGGCCTCGGGGGCGGAGCTTGGGGGCGGGGTCTGCAAGGCTCCCGGTGCTGGGACCCAGCTTTGCTAAACTCCTAGGGATGCCTCCAAGAGTTTAAGCACAATTAACCTTGGAAACCTGAACCAGAGAAGGTGTCGACCCTCAACTCAGCTAACAGTTTAATAGGTAAGCAGGTAGGAGGCTGGGCTATCTGGAACTGAAAACTCCCTCATCAGCCTGCCACATAAGGTTTGGATCCAGTGGATTCCTAGCACTGGAAACTCACCTCAAACTCCTGTCTGCCTGCCTCTGCTCGCCAAGTGCTGGGATTAAAGGTCTGTCCCCATGCCAGACAAGAAAAGTCCCAATCCCAAACTCACAGAGCCTAAACGCTGTGGCTTTGAGAGCACAGGTGAGTCGGGTGGGCACGACACAGGGACTGGGGATACACCGGAAGCCATTCAAAAGTAGTCCACACTGGGTCTAGGAGCTACCTAGGGAAGTGGACCCGAGGGCGTGGTCCTTCTTGTTGTGTGAAATGCCACAACCAATTCAGCTTTCCCAGAGCCACACCTGGGCAAGTGACAGAGAAGACAGTGCCCTTCAGCACAGGACACCAATCTCAAAGTAGCAATATCTTTATTTACAAAATATACAGTTTCACAGAAACAGCTTGCTTTATACACATAAACTTTATAATTACACAGAACCATGTAAACGATGTTGTGTCTGGCCTGGCCAAAGCTGATGGGGGGGGTCTACTTTGGGGGTGACACCTTTCCCTCCCCTCACATCTTTAGCCGCCAACCAGGAGCCCCTAGAAGGGTCATGCCCAGTTTGCATAAAGCTGATTACAGCTGCCCAGCTCAATCCACCCCCAAACCAAGGTGTCCAACTTGTGACACCACCCACAGGGAAAAGTCCCCTTAAACACAAAGCAAGCAAACAGAAATTGAGATGTGTCAACATATCCCAGAGGCGTCGCATCTCTGAGCACACAATGGCCAGCTACACGGGTCCACAACAAAACCACACTCTCAAACGCACTTAAAAAAACTACTGCAACTTTGGTTAACCTCAGGGTGAAGACACTGGACAAGTACCGTCACAGGGCAGGTCTTTGGCAAATTCCTCTAACTTGTCCTGGGTATTTACTTCAGTCAGAGCCAGACCATAGCCTGGGGACAAGACTTTCTGGAACGGCTCCTCCTCAGTGGCAGAGGTATCCCAAGTGAAATCTGCACGACCAACTGAGCTTTAGCAGTGTTTCTCTGTACTTTAGTATGAGCAACAGGATTTTAAAAACAAGAAGAACTAAGACAAATTGGACAAGTGTGAAAGATACTGACCCCTACCCCGAAAAGCTCCAATTAGCCAAGTTATAGTCTGAGCTCCTTTGTAGCTTACAACACTGTGAGACCGCCTGGTGACCCTGCCACGGCGACACAGGGAGGGTGGAGGGGAGAGATGTATGTGGTCCACTCTTCCCTGTCCCATGCTGCCTAAACAATGCCTAGGAAATACACCCACTGCTTTGCCAAACCCTGCTGAGAACCAGCTTTGGAAGGGCTGAAGAACAAGGGCCACGTTAGAGCCAAAGCCCTCCCTCCCTGCCTCTCTGCTCCAGTCCTAGGACCACCAGTGTCCCAGGTGCTGAGGCAGCCCTCATACCAGACCAGGGCTGTGGTTCACACCCTTGAAACTGCATAGCGTTGCAAGCTGATGTTATGGCACTAACTCAAACCCTTGCCTTGGCCCCAGGAACCTAGCAGGCCAGCCTGTGTGGAGGGCAGTCACTAGAGAATGCCCTCGGGTTCTTTTTAACTATTACATAGGTCTTGGGACAGCCTCATCTGTGGGATGCTACCGGAGCAGCTGAAGAACAGAGGACCAAGGGCTTCTCCACACGGAAGAGTATACTGGGCACCCTAGAGCACGGACCAGCGGCAGAGAAAGGGCATCCAGGAAGACTCTGGCCGATCTTTGGGCCATATCTTGGGGGGGGGGGATGGTTTTTACATCGTGCAAAACAAGAAACTGGGTTATGAACACAGGACACCTCCACCCTCAACCCCGCTCTGTGGAGAAGTGGCCACATACTGTCCCTTCAAACAAACAGTGAAAACCAAAGAACCACCGCTCACCCGCAACCAAGGGCTCCTCTTGGGGACACCAGACCTTTAAGGAAGCAGCTCCCTAGCCCAACTGAGTCAGGGGCAATGAGATCACAAAGGGGCAGGCAACTTGGACGGCTGCTGTATAGACACTTGTGATAAAAGACCAACACTGGAGAAGAAACAGAGGCCAGGGAAACAGAACTCCACTCCCAGCACAGAGGAGACGGAACGGACAGCTAGCACCGGCTCCCTCCCAGCGGTGGGAACTGGCTAACAAGACTGTGTGCCCCTCTCCCATCTGAAGCAGACCTGGTGCTCAGTCTGCCTGCTGCAGGAGCCAGGGGCAGCTGCGGCTCTGACCACCACCATATCTGCTCACTGGCTATGTACACTTTTATCTGGACAGCCAGTCCTCTGCTTAGGCACCTGAGTGGCAGGGTCTGCCCACACCAGAGCTGGGAGATCTGTGTTCAACTAAGGAAGGCCACAGAGCCCATGCCCTTCCAGTCCTGCCTGTCTCCTTGGCAGCTCCCAATCAGTCCAGAAACAGCTTCCGGGAGCCCATTCGGGAACGATTCGAACGACGGATATCAAACTTGGAGTCCCGGCACTTTTGGCAGACGAACACTTCGGGAACATTGGACTTGCGGATCTTTGCACAGGACAGGTGGATCCAGGTGTGGCACTCGTTACACTCTATCATGGGGCGGCCAGCGAAGGGCTTCATGCAGAAACAGGTGACAAGATCCCAGGAATCATCATCTGGAAGGGAACGACAGTTGAGAAGTGGGACTTCCTGAGGCCTTCCTGCCTGGGAACTGCACATCCAGAGCACAGCGAGTGACCTGTGTGGTCACTGACACTCCAGCCCCACGAGCTGAGCTGGTACTCCTCTCGGGAGCCAGGGCCTGTATCCCAAACAGTGCTGAGCTCCACCTGGGGGCCACGAATCATCTCCCACTCAGGCTTGCAGAGAAATCCGGGGCTGTACCCAGGAGCTAACAGCCCTTTCATGAGGGCCTCTCTGCCTTTTCACACTTTCTCCTTTCAAAGAACCTAAGGGCACTCAGATCCCACCCCAAGGGCCTGGACCCTCTGCTCAAACCACTCACCTGAGTCTACCATGATGTCCTCATCGTTGCCTGTGCTGTCTTCATCTCGGAACACCACCTGCTTTCCTTGCCGGACAATAGTCCGTTTTCCTTCAGTTTTTATCTCTTTAACCTGGTCAGGTGACACCGTAGCACAAGAACCACTGGAGGGAGTGTCAGAGTCCCAGCCTGAGCAGGGGTCAGCAGAGGCCTGGGGAAGACCCTGCATGGCGGGGCTCGTGGGGGTCTGCACGTACGGGTCTGCAGCCTCCAGCTTCAGCAAGCCCCCCCTGGGCCCCTCCTTCCCAGGCGCGTCGCTGTCCCGGTGCCGCCGCCTCTTCTTCTTCTTCAGCTTGTCTGTCTTCTTCCTGTCCAGCAGGAAGTCACTGGGCTTCGCTCGCTGTAGGAGCGACGGCTGCAGGTGGCTGAAGCAGCGGTCCGACACTGGCAGGGGCACTGAGGACGTAATGTCAGAGAAACCAGTATCCCAGCCATCGCTGTCGATGGTGCCAGCGGTGCTGTTAGCGGGGCTAGGGCTGCTCCGCAAGGGGAGCTCCTGCAACAGAGCAACACGGGCACAGTCAGCCTCTCACCACCTCCAGGGCTCCAGACCCTCCCCTCCCCTCCCCCGCAACAAACTCCTGCACCAAGCACATCCTGGACCCTGGTCAAAATGCTACCACCTCATTATCATTACTGTGCCAGCCAACCAGGAGGGTGCACCTCCCTCACTGAGTCTCTCCAGCAGGACAAAGCTCACGGGTAAAGGCTGGAGTAGCACAGTGCTTGCCTAGCATGCAAGAAAGGGGCCATGAGTTCCTCCCCCTCCAAGATCTGACAGAAGCTGCTACAGACATGGGCTCATAATTTCAGTCTCTCCTGAAGAAAGAAGAATATCCTCCATTTATTCTCCAAATGGGTTTTTTCTTTTGTTTTTGTTTTGTTTTGAGACAGAGCTTTCTGTAGCCCTGGCTGTCCTGGAACTCACTTTGTAGACCAGGTTAGCCTCAGACTCAAGAGATCTGCTTGCCTCTGCCTCCTGAGCACTGGGATCAAAGGCACTGGCTCCCAACAGGAATTTTTAAAATGAAATTTCAGCTAGATTTATTCAAATTTTGACCTTTCTTAAAAACAAAACAAGAAACAGCAGGGCAGAGTGGCACATGCCTTTAAGGGAGGGAGGCAGATTCCAAGTTTAAGGCCACCCTGGTCTACAGAGTGAGTTCTGGGACAGCCAGAACAACACAGAAAAATCTGTCTGAAAAAAAAAAGACAAAAAAACAAACAAGAAATCCTGGAGACATCCCAAAATAATCCAAAATCTAAGTAGATAATTAGTGTCCTTAAACAGCAAGCTACATGGACTGGCAGCAGTCTCTGTGGTTCAAAGTATGCATTGTAAGAATAAATACATGCCATGATTTTCGTTCCCAAAGTACCAGATTCTGTATGCAGCTCAGGTGATACACACAGGGTGTCAGCAGTCTAAACCCCACAGAGGCTGACACCTCCCCCCTTCCTTGTCAAGAAAAGAAGCTTCGTGTACGCAGAATTTGCGGCAAGACTCTCAAGCCCCAGGTATCTGCTTTCCCAGCAGCTAAGCAAGACCTGAATCCTAGGGCAAGAGGTCTCCCCCTGTGACCTGGTGTCCTCATCTTCAAAGCAGAGAGGACAAAGAACAACACTTAGTTCATTCTTCCTAAAGACAGTCGGCCTGGCCACTCAAGCACTGCCCCTACTCAGAAACTAAACAGAAACCCCAGGCAGCTAACCCACTACAGCATTAGACTTTTTATTATCTGTTACTACTCTCTTGAAACTACTCTCTCTTAAGCTATTCTGACTTGGAGTTCACCCTGTAGCCCAGGCTGACCCTAAACTTTAAACAAACCTCCTGCCTCATCCTTCGGAGTGTAGGTATTAAAAGAGTGAATATCAAGGCCAGCCTGATCTACAGAGAAACCCAAGGGCAGGAATGTTAAGAGTGAATGCAAATGGTTGTTAAAAGTTTGTTAAATCAACCACAAAAGCCAGGCGTGGTGGCACACGCCTTTAATCTCAGCACTTGGGAGGCAGAGGCAGGAGGAGGCCAGCCTGGTCTACAAAGTGAGTTCCAGAACAGCCAAGGCTACACAGAGAAAACCGATCTTGAAAAAACCTAAATAAATAAATTAATTAATTAAAATCTACTGGTTAAATCCTTTCTAGACAGGTCTACTGAAGCTTTGTGATCACTCCTCTGGGCTCATCTAGGTCCCAAAGAAACTGATTCCTGCCAGACTATTGCTGGAAGCTAGTATCAAACGCTCCCAGACCAGCTACTGGTGAAGCACCTGTAGCACGAAGCCAAGGTACTGGGGGTGGGGGTGATGTTCCAAAATCTGGGATTCTTACCTCCTTCGGATAGGGGATGTAGCCAGCATAGGCCAAGACGAAGGTGCAGAATTTGTTGAAGTCCTCAACAGTGCGGCGCCTCTTACAACTAGGGGAGTACTCCTGTTGAGGGGAACGAAGTGTGCATGAAGGAGACTCCCGGGGGAAAGTCGACAAAACAAAGCAAGCTGCAACATTTATTGCCAACTCACACAACACTGCAGAGTTTACAGTCCAGCAACAAGATAAGGGGAGTTGGGGTCGAGAAACAACAAAGTGTTCTTAAGGTAGAGAGGAGTTTTAAGACTGTGCCAAGAACACTGGGAAACTAGCTAGGAGATAAAAGCTCGTCTACAGTCCACCTCTTGGCGCTCGCCTTATCTGTTTGTCCCCACACGCCTATCAGGAGCCCCGGCATCTACATTTTTGCTACAGATTTTCCACTTTGAAAACAAACTGCAGCTGCGGCTCTACACAGAAATTAAGCGATTTCAAAAAACCAGCTGGTCAATCTCTCCTTGCTCTCCAAACCTGGCTCCCACGAGGCCAAGGCGGGGAGGGGGAGGCCCAGGGTTTGCAGCTCCAGGGGATCCTCCTCCCCCGGTAGGGGCGGGGTGCGGGACACCCAACTGTCCCCCCTGAACTGAGTGGGAACGGGGAAGGCACTGCTCGGTTTCGGTGCGCACGTTGTGTATGTAAGACACACGACGCGGTACCAGCCGGCTCAGGGGCCCTTCTCAACGGCCGCAGAGCACCCACCACAAAAAGGGATTTTTCTCCCGAGAAGGCGGAGCATCGAAGGCTCCGGGAACATTCCCTGCGGTTGCTCCCGCAACTTGTCACCACCCCCACCCCGCGCTCAGGTGCTCGGCCCGCGAGGACGGCGACAGCGGGCCGACCCCCGACGCTCCCCATCCCCCCGCCCACGCAAAGGGGCGCGCAGCGCAGCACTTTCCAACGCGGTCCCAACTTGCTCCGCCAGGCCGCTCGCTCCCGCCCCTCGGCCAGCCCCGCAGGCGACCGTCAGCAGAGCGGGCCGCGCGCTCCCGGCACTCGGGCGGCCACAAGGCCGCGCAACCGGGCCCCAAACTCCGGGAGAACTTTAATTTCGCCCCGAGGGACATCGCGGAGGGAAGGAGAGTGGGGTGGGGGGGGGGTGGAAAGACCAGGGCCGCGGACGCGAGTGCGGGGCGGCGCCGCGGTGGCCAGGGACCCGCCCTCCCTCCCGGAGCAGATGGCGCGCGCGCCGCCCGCCCGCCCGCGCAGGCCCCGGAAGGTGCGGGGCCCACCCGTGGGGTGCGGGACGCCCGCGGGACCCGGGTGGGTGTCCCGGCGCCGCCGCGCAGGCCCCAGAGCCTCCCGCCCGCGGCAGCGACACCGGCGGACCCCTCGGCTCCGCTCGGCGCCCCGCCCCCGCCGCACACCCCGCACACCGAGCGAGCGACCCCGGCCCGGGGGGCCGCTGCGCGGGGGGCCGCTCCCCGGAAGAGGGGGAGGGGCGGGCGCGGGAGACCGGCTCCCGAGTGCGGACCCCCCCGGACTCGGGCGCCGTGGGGGCGGGGCGCGGCCTGGGCCGCCGGGGGAGGGGGCGGCAGGACCGACCGACCGACCGCGCGCGCAGCCGTTCCGAGGGGGCCGGGCCGCCCCGGGGAGGCGGGGAGGAGACCCCGCGAGCCCGAGCCAGGGCGGCCGGGGGCGAGGGGGGGAGGTCCGTGTCCTCGGGGCGCAGGGTGGGCGCGGCGCCCGGCGAAGGCCGGCGGGGAGCAGCAGCGCGGGCCCGAGCTGGGGGCGCCGGGCGAACGTGGGGGAGACAGGGAGGGAGGAGGCCGGGCTCGAGACGGCTTCCCGGGGTCCCGCTCGGCCGGGGGCGCAGCGGAGGCCGGGGAGGGGGCGGCGAGGCGAAGCTCGCACTCACCTCGGGGTGGAAGGCGGCGGCGCAGGAGTCGGAGTCCATGTTCCGGGTGGGGGGGGCGGCGGCGGCGGGAGTGCCGAGGCCGGAGTGCGAGAGCGGGGGCCCGCAGGACGCTCGGGGCCGGGGGTCTCCGGCACCGCGCAGGGCGAGGGCGGACCGGTCCGGGGAGGGGTCGCCCGGGCTGGAGGTGACGGGGGTGTCGGGGGTGTCGCGTCGCAGCCTCGCTGATCCCGGGCTGGAGTGTCCGCGGCGAACTCAGTGGGGGATGCAGCTCGCACGACCGGAGCTGTGGCCCGGCGGGAGAGGCGCTGTGGGGGGCGGCGGCGGCGACAGCGAGCGGGAACCCGACCGGCTCCCCGACCTGACGCCCAGTTCGGCTCGTGTCTCGGGAGGGAGGGCGGGAGCGCTGCGAGGGCCGCCGGGAACTGTAGTCCGGGTCGGCTGGACGCCGTCAGCGCGGGGTGGAGGGGGGTGGGGCGCGCGCGACGCGCGGCATTGTGGGGGATCGTAGTCCCCGGAGCGGCGCGACGGCGTAGAGGGGCCGTCTTCATAAACTCCAACTCCCAGGAGGCACCGCGGCAGCGGACGCGTGCGGAGGCGGCGCTGACGGGACTCCGGGGGGAGGGGGCGGGGGCGGGCCTCCGGAGCGGGGGAGGTGCTGGGGGGGCTCCCACCTCCCGGCCGGTGGGGGAGGGGCGGGGGAGCGCCAGGGGGCGGGGGCGGGGTCGAGCTGCGAGCGGCCTGGGTCTCGGAGGGCGGTGGCCCGGGCTCCGCTTTCTCCCGTGGGGCCTCGAGCTGCGGCCCTTTGTGGGGCGGGGGTGCCCCGGCGGCTGGGGGCGGGCCGCTGACGTCCGCGAGGGCGGAGCGCGCTTGTTTTCGCGGCCCGCGGGCGTTTGGCTTCGGAGGTTCCGGGCGACCGCGGCGTGAGGCCTGGACCGGGGTCGCTCGCGGGCACCCGGTGCGAGCCTCGTTAGAGGGAGCCGGGCTCTCCGGGCCGGGGCGGGCTCCGGCTGCGGCTCGCTGTGTGTTTCCCTCCCTCCTCGCCGTCCTCGGGGCCGCGGCGGCGGGAAGCCCTGCGCTCCCGACTTGCGCTTCCCGGGGATCCGAGAGGGGGCCCGGCCGTGCGGGACGGGTGAGTGCGTGGGCAGCGCACGAAGAACCGACCCGGAAGGCGTGGCGGATGGAGCGAGCGCCCGGCTGACCCGACCGCAAGGCTGCGCTGCCCTGTGGTGGCTGTAACGGTAGGAGCCGTCCGGGACGGGAAGATGGACGCGTGCACATTCCGCTGGCGGCGGCGGCAGCGCGTTGGGTGGGAGCCTTAAAACGCTGTCAAAAGAGCGACAGACGGTTTTAAATTCCGAATAGGAGGAAACACTGGAGAAAAAGACGAGGCTCTTTGGAGAGCCCCGTGAAAAGCTCCTTCGGCGGTTGTTGCTGTTTCCGCGGCTAAGCTGATTTTCATGCGAACGGTGATTGAAAGAATAGGTTTAGCCGGGTGTGTGGTTTGTCCATTCTACCCAGCAGGCGGGACTGGAGGCCAGCCTGAGCTACACAGAGTTGCTGGCCAGTCAGGGCCGCTAACGGAGACTTTGTGAATAACGGGGGGGATGGGCTAGCCTGAGCCACACAGGACCCATCGAAAGGAAAAAAAAACGGGGTTGATCTCAGAAACCAGCCTCGGTTCCCCAAACCTAAATAAAATGTCTGCCACACTGACTCGCTCAATAAAGGTAGTTTACTGTTGTTGTTGTTTTATGATTTTTGCAATATTGAAGCCCCGTTGAGGTGATACAGATAGGAAACTATTACGGTGAAAACAGGGACTGCGGGCTTAGCCGGTAGGACCTCATTAGTGACTTCTGCCTTCAGGGTGGCCAGATGCAAGTAGATACGGAATTCGAATGTTACGTGATCCCCGTGTCCAGAGCGGATGCTTGAAGATTGACTACCTTGGCCCGTGATCAGACTCACCTGAAGTGACTTAGTTTTCCTATGGAAAGGCCCTGAGAGCCAGGTGCGCTGTCTGTAATCCAGTGCTCAGGAGGCTGACGCAGGATGGCTCCAAGTAAAAGTTCCCTCCTAGGTTACAGGGAGATCCTAAGGTTGGCCTGAACCGTTTAGGGAAACCCTCGGTCAAGGACGTTGGGCATGGGGCACCTGGAGTTGCAGCTGAGAGTATGGCCCTAGCTTTAACGTTCGAGGCCCTAGGTTAGGACGTGGTGTCTGTGGTAGTTCAGAGGTACAGCAGCTGCAGTCAAGAGCATTTCTTGTTCTTGCAGAAGCCTGGGGTTAAATTCCCAACACCCACATAGGCTCGCACAGCCCTCCGTAACCTCCAGTTCCTGGGAACCTAACACCCTCTCCTGACCTCGGAGGTCAGCAAGCACGCACACACCTACGTGCTAGCAAAACACTCCTACACATAAATCTAAAAGAGGAAGCAAGCAACTCTAGCGTGCTGATGCACACCTGGGGGCCAGAGCTTGAGAGACAGAGGAAGGAGAATCGGGACCGGAAGGTCAGCCTTGGTTCTGTAGACACAGATACAACTCAAAAAAGTGAATGACAGCTGGGTGGTGGCAGCGGCGGTGTAATCCCCGCGCTCCAGAGGCAGAGGAAGGCTCATCTCTACCTTTGAGGCCAGCCTGGATGACACAGATACAACTCAAAAAGGAAGTGACTCTACCTGGTCTTTCCTCCCTGTGGTAAAAACTTCACAGCGAACATGAAGAGACTGGCTGAAGGGCCACAGAGACGGCTCGGTGAAGAGCGTGCGCACTGTTCTTGCACAGGACTTGGTCTCTGTCCCCAGCCCCCATGTCACATAACTCACAACTGCCTGTAACTGCAACTCTAGGGAACCCAACACCCTCCTCTGGCCTCCACAGGCAGTACTTAAGTAGCATGCACAAACTCACACTCAGACACACATATATGCACATACTTTAAGGTAGAAATAAGCAGTGGGGCTTAGTGCTGCACGCCTTTAATCCCAGCACTCTGGAGGCAGGTAGAGCTCTGTGAGTTTGAGGCCAGCCTGGTCTACAGAGCAAGTTCCAGGCCAGCCACGGCTACACAGAGAAACCCTGTCTTGAAGGGGAAAAAAAAGACACCTAGAAAAAAATAATCTTTTAAAAATAAAAGCCAGGGCTGGAGGGATGGCTCAGTGGTTAGCCGCACTTGCTGCTCTTCCAGACGACCTGGATTCAGTTCTTGGTACACACATGATGACACACGGCCACCTGTAACTCCAGCTCCAGTGGATGCTGTGTGCTCTTCGGACCCCGCCAGACATGGACATGATGCATAAATAGCCATGCAAGCAAAATGCTCACATACTTAAAACTGAAAGTTGAAAAAACCAAGGTGCCGCCGGGCGTGGTTGCTCAGGGCTGTCACCCCAGCACTAGGGAAGCTGGGATGAGAATGGAGACAAGTCAGGGCTGCATGTGGAGTCCCGAGACAGCCTGGACTGCATACGTACTGGGGCCGTCTTAAGCCCTTTCCCAAAAGAAAAGCAGGAAGCTGTCTATTTGGTGGCAGTCCAGCATGCAGAAAGCCTTAGATTTGTCCCCAGCACTGCTTACAAATAAGGGGGTGAATGATTCTTTGCTGGTTATGGTTCCCTCACCCAAGTACTGGCACTCAGAAGTCTGAGACCCAAGAATACCCACGGTTCCAGGCCAGCCTGAATTACAATGCAAAATGCTGTCTCAAAAGCAAACACTGGTCTCCCTAGCTGGGAATACACTTCCATTGTGGGTACCTGCCTAGTGTGAGCAAGATAAGTCCAGTGTTGTACCAAAAACTGCTTCAAGTTTTTCAAAGCCACACATTCTAGGGACTGGAAGAACGGTGTTGTGGTCAGGAGTAAGGACCTCTGTTTGAGACGACTCCAGTTCTGTTCCCAAGGCCTCGGGAAGCTGACCGCTCATCCTCCAGGTGATCTGACATCCGCCACCATGTGTAGCTACATACACGTGGGCACACACGTGTAGAATAGCGCCGGGGGCCTTGCTGCTCTTGCAGAGGGCTTCCTTCCCTCCCCAGCACCCCTATCAAGTGGCTCACAGCCATTGAGCCTCGACTGCTGGAGAAGTCCAGGCCTCAGGCCTCCTCCGGCATTGGCACTCAAATGTGTTTACCCACACCACACAGGTACGTGCATGTGCTGAAAATACTTGAAATCTTTTTTTTTAAGATGTATTTTTTTATTACATATACACCAAATTGAACTGTAGATGGTTGTGGTTGTGGTTGCTGGGAATTGAACTCAAGACCTCTAGAAGAGCAGTCAGTGCTCTTAAACTCTGAGCCATCTCTCCAGCCCCCTTGAAATCTTTTAAAGTTTACTTTTGTAGGTGTTTGTTGTTGTTTTCCTGCCTGGACATTTGCACCGTATGTGTGCAATGCCTTTGGAGATCAGGAGAGAGTGTGGTTGCTGGGACCCGACCAGCCCAGCAAAGGTTCTCACCGCTGAGCTCTATCTGTGTTCCCTAAACTTATTTTAAGTGTCTTGACCCAAACTGCCCAGCTATGATAAAGGCTCGTTCTCTCTGGGAAACAGTCTGCTTTTCCCCATGCCTGCTTGCTTCCAGGGGTTCTGTACCACTACTTTCTTTTTTTTAATTGGTTTTTCGAGACAGGGTTTCTCTGTAACTTTGGAGCCTGTCCTGGAACTAGCTCTGTAGACCAGGCTGGCCTCGAACTCACAGAGATCCACCTGCCTCTGCCTCCCCAGTGCTGGGATTAAAGGCATGTGCCGCCACCACCCGGCTCTTTCTCTTTTTTTTTTTTTTTTTTTTAACTTTCTTTTATGAGCATTGTTGTGAAGGTGTCAGATCCCCTGGAACTGGAGTTACAGGCAGTCGTGAGCTGCCATGTGGGTGCTGGGAACTGAACCCAGGTCCTCTGGAAAAGCAGGCAGTGCTCTTAACCCCTGAGCCACCTCTCCAGCGCCAGTACTACTCTCTTGAGCTCCTTCAGTAGCAATGTCAGTAGTCACAGCATCCAGATCCTGGGAGTCACCGTTCTTTCTGTTCTAATGCGGGGGGGGGGGGTGAATGCTAATTCTCAGACAATTGTAATTGCTCTTGAAAGAGAAGGGAAGACAGTGGCACTAACCCAGGCTGTGACAAGTTCAAACACTGGGAATACCGGGGTTTCCCAGGCATCCCAGGATGTGGTTGTTTTAATTGCATTTCTAAGTACAGCCTAACCTACCTAAATCTCACTGCTCCAGCACCTTCACTTGGGGGAACTTTGGGGAACTCTGCTTCCTGTTTTCACAGTGCGATTGGGGTGTGGGTGTGAATTTTACCAGAGGACTGTTCTGTCCAGAGTAGAGCTCTGTGGGCTCCACACTTGCTCCAGCTGAAGTATATTTCTAGATCTTTAGGCATCCTCGTGCCCTCCTTGCTGGGGGAGGGGGAGGAAGAGGAGAGACACCATCCTCTTTTCAGCTTGTAGGACCTGGGCTGCAGGATGAGAATGTCTGTGAATAATCTAAAATTAGCCGGTGCTCGGGCATAGAGAAATCAAGTCAGTTTC